AAAATAATCTGACTGTTACATTTTGAACAAACTAAAGGCCTGAATATATTCTTGTCTGAACCTCTCCAAAAATGAAAATTCTGTCATCATTTACTCGCCCTCAAGTTGGTCCAAACCTACAGTATGAATTGCTTTCGTCGGTAACGCTTTAGATTACAGCCCGGAAACTGTGTAATTAAGAGGAATTTACAGAGTAACTTTCGGTAAATATAGTGTACCTATAAAGTACTTGCATGTAAGTATAAGGGAACAATATGTAAAGTTTGGGGAATAAAGGGGTAACAACCAGGAGAATTAAAAAAAATATTTATACTGTAAGTATTATAGAACTAAGGGTATTCTACTATTATGATACAACAATCTTAGGAGCAATTTAGCGAGAACACTGCGTACCTTTTTGTAATAATTGTGTACCAATACATACTGTAGACTTTTTTTAAATTACAGGGTACATATGCATTTATACTTTTATTTATTTATTTTTTGATAGCAAAAGTGCAGACGTTTAAGTTGGGCTAACATGTTTCAAGGCAAGAAACGCTAAGACTATTGCAATTTTTTTAAATACTGGGAAATATATCTTGTTTCATCTGGTTACAGGGTAAGTGGTAGCCTACTTGTATAATAAATAAAGGTTTCCGAGTCAGATTGTGTGTATGCATTTTTATTGTTACCCTGTAACTACATGGAACAAGAGGGTAACAAGCACCACTTTAATTTACGGCCCGCAATGTCATACTTACCCTGTAACTACATCGAACAAGAGGGTAACAAGCTACATGAAACAAGAGTATCTTTCCCCAATATTTAAGCAAAAGTTGCAATAGTTTTCGTTTTCAGTGCACTTTTGTTAAAAAGATTACATTTTAAAAATTACAGGGTATATCTATGCATTTATAAAGCCTATACAGTATGTACTGGTTCACCATTATTTCAAAAAGGTACGCAGTGTATGTTCTTGCTAAATTGATCCCAAATGTAAGATTGTTGTATCATAATAATAGAATAAGTACCCCTTAGTTCTATAATACTTACAGTATAAATATTTTTTTTATTCTCCTGGTTGTTACCCCTTTAATCCCCAAACTTAAAATATTGTTCCCTTATACTTATATTGTAAGTACATTATAGGTACACTATAATTACCGAAGGTTACGCTGTAAAATTGCTTTAATTACGCAGTACTTTCTGGGCTGTAATCTAGCGTTACCCTTTCGTCTGCTGAGCACAAAAGAAGATATTTTGAAGAATATGGGTAACCAAACAGACTTCCATAGTATGGAGGGGGAAAAAAATAAATGGAAGTAAATGTCTTTATGATGCTCTTTACATCATAAAAAAAAACTTTGAATGGAAAGGAGTATTGTAATATTGTAATTAATGTTTGAATATTGCAATATTGTCATATTGCTTTAAAACGACAAGCCTTGGTTTTTCATCATGCCCCAATGGGCGTTTTAAACTTATGTGCAAGTACATTTGAACCGAATTGGAAGGAGAAATTCCTTCCAATTCTGAAGAAATTTATATATTTATATTTATATATATATATATACATACAGTATAAATTCAAAATTCTTTGTATTGCAGAAAATAGTACATAAATGGTACAGAGAGACTAGATATGAATTAGGACATATTATATATTTAAATGTTAATTATAATGATGATGATTATAATGCTGATTGTGAAGATCCAAATGTATTTAGATCTTAACAATCAGCATTATAATCAACATCATTATAATTATCATATTAATAATGTTGCATATATCTTTCATTTCACTTCACACAAAGTGTTTATCTATCACTTTTGTTTTTACCATATATGGAATAGATAAACACTTTGTGTAAAGTGAAATGAAAGATGTATGCAACATTATCATATTTAATCATTATTAAATGAAAGATACATACAACATTATTATAATAATATTTATAAACCACATGTAAAATGTTCACAAAGTTATTCTAATGTGGTTTAATGATGTTTTAAATAATGAAATAAATACATGCAAACATATCAATTACTTCTTTTAAAAACGTGACTGTGTTAACACGGAATTTTGATAAGAATTCTTATCAAAAAACTGATTAAACTCAGACCTGCAATAACCTAGATAGTTTGAGGATGTGTCATAAAAACAAAACTGAAAGACATATAACTGTAAATTGCTCTTCACATCCTAAAGAAGAATGGAAAGGAAACTGTCTGAATATTGTTCGAGGACCTTTATCTGAAACACAATTTGTACAAATGCCTTTTCTTTTACTCAAACTTTTCACATTTTTGGAGATCAACAAGACAACAATTAACAAGTTACAACAGATGGAAGAGTGAAATCCCTTCTCCTGAAACTTCACAGTGTATTAATAGCTAACAGGTCAATATTGACATCATAACAGCTGTATCCATGTCCCAGACACAAAATGGCCTTTAAACACCTGTTTGACTTTATACGATGGAGCGTAAGCACTACGTGACTCTGCCCTGCCAGATATGATAACGAGATGATAAGATGGTGAATACTTCTATATTAAGCTCTGTGTAAGGTTTTAGATATAGATCATTCGGAGTCCACACATGTCCGCTAAACAGCATATTAGTATAAAATTCATCTTAATATCTATCTCAATAATTTGTAAATTGTGGAGTGACTCTTTAAAATATTTAATTATGGACACATTTGATCACAAGCACCATTTTAGTTTCAGCAGCACCTGTTGTTTTTGTGATTTTGATTTAAACTTGCACTCTAAAATATTATTTGATTAATAAGTTATTTCAACATACGTTTTTACATTGTTTTAACTCATCAAAGTTAAGCCATTTTCAACTTTTATATAGGTTATACAAGATTCAACTATTTAAGTCAGTTTAATGTAATTTAAGTTGAAATTGCAAACATTTAAGTTGATTGTACTTCAGAATTTAAATCAATTGAAAAATGTAATACACATCAATTTTTTACATTGTAAATTAATACATTTCATACGATATTATGTCTGTAATTATCTGACATATATCATCAACAATTATTTAGAAACTTTTGGACACATAAGCCACGTTTAATAATGCGTTGGGCAACATAAAATCAAATGCATCTGCAAACAATTGATACAAGACATTTTCTCAGAACTAACTTCCCTTTTCTATAACAACTGGCGTCAAGGTGATAGTGAATGTATAAAGTCAGTTCCTCCTCAAGTTCACACACTGTCTAGCAGAATAACCACAGAGTGCATTATATGGACATGCTGTTTATCTTAATATTGAACAGTACATTTATTGTTTTTAAATCTGACAAACTTCTTTTTCAAAAAAAAAAAAAAAAAAAAAAAATGGTAACGTATAATAATGCTATTTGGTTTGGATTTAAAAAGATTTATAATTATTCAAATGCTTATCTGTCCATATAACTCCTTCATTACATTCATTAATTCGGATAAAATAGTTTTTGAGCCAGACAGTCAAAATTTCTCTTGGGAAAAATAAATATTGCCATGTTTTTACTTTGTGTCAGGTTTACACACAGCTCCTTGGTAACATTATTTTGTGTTCAAGCACAATTGAATGTAATAAGGGAGTGTTTTAGTGATTGCACCAGGACTGGTAAAAGGAGATCATTGGAAATTTCTAGAACACTAGCGTGTACTGGGGTGGGTAATGACCCAACCAGAGCAAGAAAGCTGCGCTTCACGTCCAGGAGAGGAATGCAGAGAGACTGCCCACTCCCTAAAATCACTCCAAAATGATTCCGTTTAATATCCATCCACAACTCAAAATAAACAGACAAAAGCTATGAGCTCAAATGTTTATTTCACCACCTTTTGTCTTTATATGATTACTTCAGTCATATGTTTTGTAGATGTTGTTGTTGTTTTTTTTATCATTTATTCTAATATTACATAAATAATATCCATATCTGTTCTAAAACAACTACATTTGTATTAACAATGAAAATTAAATGCCGCTTTAATGGAACATAAACAACATTTCCACTAGCTTAAATGGATATTTCACCCCAAAATGAAAAGAAGATATTTCGAAGAATGTCGGTAACCAAACAGTTGATGGGTCCCATTGACTTCCATAGTATTTTCCCCCATACTAAAGTCAATGGGATCCATCAAGTGTTAGTTACCCATATTCTTCTAAATATCTTCTTTTGTGTTCAGCAGAAGACAGAAATTCAAAACTATCCCTTTAACATTGATTAACCCACAGATAAAACAGGACATTAGAAGAGGTTCAAAACAATCAAAATAAAACATGATAAAGCCAGGGTTATTTACAACCTTGAATTATATTTTAAAAGTTGAACACACTGTAAAATGTCAACTCACTAAAACTGAAACGTTTGTTCTTTGTAAATTCGAAGTGGTGCCAAAGTTACACTGATAATTACACCTTTTCAATCTATGAATTTAATGAAGAAAAATAACATGAACCAAACTCTAAAAAACCCATAAAAATGATGTATAAACCACAGAAATTACTAGTACAAGTTAAATGGTTGAACACGAACATGTTAAATGGTGAACACATGCTTACTGCCGCAAACCCAAATGATATTATTTGATAACAAAATGTTCATTGATGGATGGACTAAATAAAACACAGCAATACACTGACCTTGGGATCAACTCTCCATCTTCATACAATTCTCCATTAACAGACAAAAAAGAGTGTGTTTAACAGAGTGAGAAGGCTTTTCTGGTCTCATTCTGACCAAGCCAGTCAATCTCTCCTCTCCCAAGTCTTTTTTTCATAACTATTCAGTACATGACATTAGAGCATACCAGAGATCCCATGTCATTATACGGGTATGTCTTTATTTGCTCATTAGGTTAACATGTCATCCTGCTACGATTTCGATTACTCCATTGTACAGACAGGGCGGGGGGCTGAGCATGCCCAGTTATGGTGCGCGCAGAGGGTTGCCTGATTGCATCATCGCAAAGACATACTATAAATAGGGTGACGTCACTCGCTCCGCCTCTAGTAGTAGTTCACGTCCTCCAGCCATTAAAAGGGGTGATGCAACGAGCCGGGCGACAACAGTAACTTTACCAGCTGAGAGCGAGAGCACTCCAGCCGGTGGAGAGCATCACAACACGCGCGTTTTATTCAGCCAAAACAAGGTGAGTGACAACATTCTTTCTCTTGTTATTTATGGGTTTTGTTGTAACTTACCTGTTCTAGAACACACTCTGGAAAATGTCGAGGCTATGTTGTGGTTGTAGCTAATAAATCAACTCAGCCGGTGACTGAATTCAATATCATTGTGTTTTTGGGTAAATCGATTGTTTATAATACTTTATAGGCTATTCAAAACGTTATCTTATATTTTGCTATATGTATTTATATATAATTCCATTTTTTTTTATCTTATAATCTAAATGATCTTGTTCTCAAGACTAGTTGCAAAACGTGCGGAACTGCGCTAACTCGTGTTGTAATATTTGTATAATAACTGATTTATGATATTCTGTTGGCAAATTCTTTATAGGCAACTGTGAAAAATATTTACATCAATAACTGTTTACATTAGCGACCAACACTTCGGCTACAGTGTCACCGGATTAGAGTTTATTAAACAGTTAAAGATGATGATTTTACAAGATTATACTGATTATGATTGTAGACCTGCTATGCATATAATTCGAGCATACGTTTTACATTTGAGTATGGTAATTGAATGTAGTAGCATAACTTTTGAATAAAGCGATAACATAAAAAAGTGTGTTATTGACTAAGCTAAATGTACTACGTCACCGTGACTGTAAAAAATACGGTAAAATATTGACAACTGTGGTTGCCAGAACCTTTAAAAGAAATCCTTTAAAAAATAATGTGATGTTAAAAGTATTACTATAATTATGTTACACTTTCTATGTGTAGGCTACATGTCATTAAATTATATTGTGTTAAATTACTAACTTGAGCTATTCAAATCTGTTTGCCATTGTAAATGTACTGAGAATGAGAATATGTGGTACAATTTAAGGCTTTAATGAATTTAACTTTGATGAAAATTTGCCTCTGTAGCAACTGTGTCCATGTAATATAATAATAAGACATGGCACAGATTTACAAACACAAAGCACCTTAAGTGTAACCCATAGCCTTAAAGTTATTCTAAAAAATGAACTAAACATGAGAGTCTGGGAATACCCTTTCTCATTAAATAATAACAGTATTTTACTTTAAAGGTGTATTTATGGACTTGTTAAATATATTTTTCAATTGTAAATAATATATTGAAATAATAAATGTATAAATATATTTAATACAGTTATATAAATTCATACTTTTTATTTCTATAATACATTTGTACACTATTTTACAGTGCAATTACATGTATTGATTAAAAAAAATACTTTTTTACAGTTAATCATTCAATATGTTTTTACAGTAGCAATTTTACATTCTAACTATTTTACCAACTAACTTTTTTACAGTTAAGTTGGTAGTCTAATATTTTATAGAGAAGGGGAGTGGGGGGTTGATAGTTTCTAACTGACTACAAAAACTTATGATATGATCTTATCTGATTAAGACCATGACTTAAATCTTACTTCATATGTTTTAGATTTCGGAATGATGCTTCAGCATCCTGGTTTGGGTTCCTTGGAGATCAGTGCATCGGCTTTGGTTCCCTGCCTCTCCCCGCCAGGCTCTCTCACACTGGACGACTTCACCAACTTCACTCCATTAGTGAAAGAGGAGCTGCGCTACGCCATCCAGAACAAACGCATGTCCAACGGCATGAGCACCTTGACCACTGATCGAGCGTGTATGAACAGCGAACGACCCACTGAACAACCTGTAATGAAGCGACTGGTAAGAATGACTCATTTACAGTTATAGCATTTAAAACGAATGTAATTTCTTGTATTTCACATTGGTTATATTGAGTAACACACACGTAGAAAAGCCATGCTTGCACAATTCATTGTTCATCCACTTGTGGATCGAATTCAGAATCATTAGATATTTCATAAAATCCATATTCATTACACAATGTGGGCATATGTTTTTAATGTATGTGATGAATATTATAATTTTAGGCCACTCCAGAGGAGAGTGACCGAAGAAAAAGAAGGAGGGAAAGAAACAAAGTTGCAGCAGCAAAATGCCGAAACAAGAAAAAGGAGAAAACCGATCATTTACAAAAGGTAGTCTTTATTTCCTCTTTATATACTGTATATATATAATAATATAATTGATTACATTAATATTAATCAATTGAATATAATTGTTATATATATATATACACACACAATACATTTATATAATTTATTAATATAATTGATTACATTTAATATGAAGATATTTAGATATATTTACTAAATGTGTGTGTATATATATCATATTAATTACATTAATATGAATTAATTAATTGAATAATATATATATATATATATATAATTTAAATTATACATAATTTAATATATATATATATATATATATATATATATTAAATTATGTATAATTTAAATTATATATATATATATATATATATAAAATGTATATATATATATATATATATTTCTAAAATATTACAAACATTTTACACTCATTTGTATTCAATGAATGGCTTTTGTTTTTTGATTCAGGAGTCCGAGAAGTTGGAGTCCATCAATGCCGAGTTGAAAGCCCAGATTGAGGAGCTGAAGAACCAAAAGCAGCAGCTAGTTTACATGCTCAACCTGCACAGGCCCACCTGCATTGTCCGTGCTCAGAACGGCCAGACCCCTGAAGATGAAAGGAAGCTCTTCATCCAGCAAATCAAAGAGACCACCCTGCAGGGTCTGAATCTAACCATAAGTGGACCAACACACACCGCGATACCAACTAGCTGTGGGCATCTCTGAATCACAAACTGTCCAGGCAAGAAGCTAATGGCTCCGCAATCCTCGCCAAGGAACATTGGAAGGTTCACCCACGTTATAAAGGACTAAACACGGGTGCCTGCCATGATGCCACTCAAGGTCGGTCTGATGTACACTGAAAGAAAGAGACTGTTAAAGCACTAAAGTGTTGAAGGACGTCTGATGCGTTTTTCTCTTATTTAAATGTGTTCGTAAATGTATGTTTAACATGATATGCTTTTTGTATGCACCAAAGCTTGATGTCATGTTGATGCTAGAACAACATGATTTCGTTTATTTATCGGCTTGTTGGTTAAATTAAACCCTGGCGGTGGGTTTGACAGCAAGTACTATTCTAGTGAGGGGGGAGACCTAGTGATTTGTGTGTATCTTTTTCATTTTTTTGGCAGACATACAGGGTGATGAATGAAGTTGTTTAGTTTAGTTACAAATGTAGGCTATCTGTGGCCTCTGTCTTGTTAAGTGTCCACATAACATGCCATGTGAAGTATTTCAAGCTGCTACTAATCTCTCAGGACTTGGGCTATGTATATTACAGGAAACTCATGCTAAAACAGATAAAATAACAGAGAAGTCGACGAGGAGTGGACTTTGAGACACCACTTACAAGGAAGTCTCTACCCCTTCACCACTGAAAGCCTGCCTATAACCTCAACCATCTGACTATATTGTTGTTACAATGCTGTGAGCAGGAGGGTCTGCATTTATCAGCCCACTGTAAAAAAAAAAGGAGAAAAAAAAAGAAAGTGTTTTTGTGCTTTTAGCAAGGACATACTTATTTTCTGATGTATACTGTAGCTGTGTGTTGTTATTGTCTAGATGCACAAACCTCTACACTCCCAGCTAACAGCGAACAATCTCAGAACGTTCTGACAAGGTTCTCTTAAAGTCATGAGCAAACGTTCTTCCAGTAACATTAATAGAATGTTCCTTCAAAGTTATGTGGTTTTTAATGATGTTCTCAAAACGTTAATACATTGTTCATGCAACATATTTTTCTGTTATATATATTTTTTTAATATTACTAGCTACTACTTGTTTCAGAACAATCAGAGAACATTCAAAAGTAACATTCTCATAATGTTTGCAAAAATGTTTTAATCGAACATTCCCTTAATGTTTTCTTTAACGTTTGCATAACCAAAAAATGCTTTGAATTTTTTTTTTTTATTGGACGTTTTAAATTTTCAGAGAACATTCAGAAATAACGTTTTCGTAACTTAATGGGAATGTTAGCAAAACGTTCTTAGAATATTATTGTTAGCTAGGCTTATCCTAAAGGAAAAAAAGAAGCTTAAAATATTCAATGTAAAGCTTGAAATATTCAACGTAATGTTCCTGGGTCATGTGTCTAGCACTTTTAATGTCACGCCATGTTGTTAGTGAAGAAACACATACCACAAGACATCTGATCAGGCCCTGTGACTGCATTGCCTAATATTACAGAAAGGTGTTAGAATTTTTTTTTTAAATCACTCCATTTCTACCAAACAGAAACTCCCTAATCTTTTCACAAACTTCTGCCTCTTGTTTTTGAGTATAGTCTAAATGTGTGTTCTGTCATGTAGTGAAAGGTTAAGTGACGCAGGCGTCAGGTAGCTTTTTCCTTTTTTTTTTCCTTTTTTTTTTGTTCAAATAGGCATGCCACAAAATGTGGTACTACTGACATTAAATGTGCAATGAAAACAAAGCTATGCTTTCTATTTGTGGTTAAACCAGGTTTTATCCATCACATCATTGCTGTCCACGTCAAAGAGTTCAAGTGCACTTGCTACCAGAAGTCATGATTGAGAAGATATGGCTGTAACATTCAATTGCATATTTATATAAAATATGGCTTCATTTTGACTGTCTGTTGTTTGTTTTTGATACTTTATTAATAAAAAAAGATACCACTTGCATTTGAGTCATGCTTTGCTGGTTTTATTGAGGTCAAATGTGATTAAATATGATTAAATCAACCTGATTGCATCAGAAGAGGCAACACCTTGTGACTTTAAGTGTACTTGAGGTGTTCAAAAAGCAGTTGTGTTGAGATATTTGCTGAAGGGCAAGTCCGCACATGTATAACTTGAGAAACGTGCTGACTGTAAACCCTTGAGGTGATCAAGTTCATGCAGCCAGAGAGCAATGATTCAGCATGTTCTGCTGATTTAAATGATTATTTCTGTTAAAGTGGGTAGTTTAATACAAGGCAAACACGTATTATGATTTGTAATTGATTAAAGATGATGATGGCATTGGAAGGCTTCTAGAAAAAGTCTTCTGTAATTCCCTGGAAAGCCCTCTAGGGCTGAGTTTTGGTAACTCCCTTTTTGGGGGGAAATTCAGGAATTATTCAGAATTTTAAATAATTGGTTCGTTTTCAAAAACAATTTCTAGAAGAAAAAAAAAAAACGTGGTTGTACGGGAACTAAAAGTACCTTTTAAACATTTCTCTTTGAGAGGGAGTTACGTAGCATGACTGGTTTTAATAGGGATAAAAGTACACAGACAAACAGAAACTGCCTAACTTTCATTGATTATCAATAGCAAATACAAGATGTAACCAGGCAATGATGTAGAATTTCTACCAAATATAAAATTAAAAGATCTTGGGTTTTTTTTATATTATAAGAGTTTTTTTTGTCTACTGACAAAACAATAATAGCCTTTAAAGGGATAGTTCACTTTGAAATTAATTTTTGGTATGTTTTAGCTTACCCCAAGGGCATCCAAGATGTAGGTGTCTTTGTTTCCGCAGTAGTTTCAATTTTGATATTTTTAGGTCAAACCGTTCTTGTCTGTCAGTCATATAATGCAGGTCTATGGTCACCACCTCAAAGAGCATGCACAGAGAAGTCCAAATTAAACATGATTTAATGACTCGTAAATGTAAGTACACATTGATGGCCTAAGACACGAAACGAGCGGTTTGTGTGAGAAAACGAACAGTATTTATATCGTTTTTACCTCTTGTAACCACAGCCACGTCCAAGTGATCTGAGGGCGCTGGCGCTTCGGTCTGCCCAAGCGCCGGAAAGCGCCGGAAGTGATCTCTCGCGCGTGTACGTCACTCATTGTTTACACAGAGGTTTCGGAAGTGTTACCTTTCACTGTGAAGATCTAAACATATTTAGATATACAGGAAATCGCAATGGAAGACGATTTCGATATATCAACAGACAACGTTGAATTTTTTTCACAACCGCGCGAGAGATCACTTCCAGCGCTTGCGCAGACCGAAGCGCCCGCGCCCTCAGATGACTTGGACGTGGCTGTGGTTACAAGAGGTAAAAACGATATAAAATACTGTTCGTTTTCTCACACAAACCGCTCGTTTCGTGTCTTAGGCCATCAATGTGTACTTACATTTACGAGTCATTAAATCATGTTTAATTTGGACTTCTCTGTGCATGCTCTTTGAGGTGGTGACCATAGACCTGCATTATATGACTGACAGACAAGAACGGTTTGACCTAAAAATATCAAAATTGAAACTACTGCGGAAACAAAGACACCTACGTCTTGGATGCCCTTGAGGTAAGCTAAAACATACCAAAAATTAATTTCAAAGTGAACTATCCCTATAATGCGAATATGGCACTAAATAACTAAATAAAAACAAGGTTCCGACTCCCAAGGTTGATGTTCTCTGCCAGAGTCAAAGGTGAGTTAAATATTAAATCATATATGGCCGTAGATAATCTGTTGAAAACCTAAATTAAAAACCTTCGTGCCATCGTTGCTTTGCACTCCACCCTTTCCGTGATCCACAATAAAAACCATAGATTTTGGCCTTTTTATTTGCTATATGCTCGTTTAGTTTGAACTCGAGTCATTCTTATGTTTGTGCACATCCCTTAAAGTAGAAAAACATATTTATGGGGCAATCAAGTCTGAGCTGCTGCTCATTGCTTCATCATTGCTGATGCAGATTGATGTCAGACATGTGATGATAAACTCTCAGAAATTACTCTTGAATAACTTCCACCTCTTTTCTGAAAACATACAGCGCCCATAAAGAAACACTGCATTACCATCACCAGGAAACGAACACTCTTTGTTCATATTTGTTTCCCAATCAGTGCACTGAAATGAATCACTATTTGTAATTAAAATACTTCAGCCAGGTATGAATACACCTTTGGAACTAAATGATCACCTCACGGAATGCATAACATGGGACATAAATATTTTGAATGTGAAATTAATTTTTATTTGTGAATGTTTATTTCTATTTAAATACAAAATACATTGCATTCCTTTGACATCTTACAGTGAGCTGGAAGTGACCCCGGTTCCTAACACCATGACCTGACTTTCACAGTAACGCAAGTGCACTTTGCCCTGTCAGAATGTGAACAAACATGGTCACAGCCCTTGGCAATAAATGCAATCAGCGGAAACTTCACATTCTGATGCAACCATTTAAAACTGTTGCAATGGAATCTTAAGATGTCAAAAAGGGTGTTGTAATGCTATTTCAAACACCAGTGTTATAACCTTTGAACATGATTGTAATGATTTTAAGGTTTTGATGTAATGCATTCATGACTGACAGGCTTTTACCCTGTAAGATAGCAGGAAAGCTTTACTCCTTCAGGGTAAAAACTAAAAGTACCCCTCACATACCCTGTAGTTCCTTTTCCTAGATTAATGAATGCATTTATCGAACAGTCTAGACCACGTCCTGCCCAGTAACATGGAAATGTCCCTTCTTTTTACTATGGGGGTGCTCAAGGAAGCGTGGGTTCAATGGGAACTTCAATGTCCACATTCTTCTTTAAGTTCCTGTAAGGCTTCCAAGAGTTTTTAGATGCGAGTTCCAAGGGCAACCACCGCAGTCTCTACCAGGAACTTACAGATAAGGAAGGAAAAGTTACCATAACAGAATTAAGACACACCCCTAATTTCCCATTTCACAATGGGAATTTGCATTCGCCTCTTTTCAGATTTAAAAACATGTCCACTTTAAAGGCAATGCAAAACAGATTCTGATAATCTTTTCTACTTCCTTCTATTTCGTGCTGTGACAAGGAGACATTTACAGCTCCGACGCAGCCTGAACGTTTACGATGTAGAAGACATACATTTGTTGCAAATATTGATTAACAACTGATTATATACAAACTATATCTATTTTTCAGTATATTTATATCAAAGACGTAGATTAAATAAAATATTTAGATAAAATAAAATTTTGATGCATGTTCATTAACAATGTGTCCACTAGAGGGCATGGCAATCAAGGAATTGTAATAGGCCACAAAATCAATCTATCTATCTATCTATCTATCTATCTATCTATCTATCTATCTATCTATCTATCTATCTATCTATCTATCTATCTATCTATCTATCTATCTATCTATCTATCTATCTATCTATCTAATATACTGGGTTTATTAGCTTTTTAAATATAATAGCCTATCTATCTATCATCTATCTATCTATCTATCTATCTATCTATCTATCTATCTATCTATCTATCTATCTATCTATCTATCTATCTATCTATCTATCTATCTATCTATCTATCTATCTATCTATCTATCTATCTATCTAATATACTGGGTTTATTAGCTTTTTAAATATAATAGCCTATCTATCTATCTATCTATCTATCTATCTATCTATCTATCTATCTATCTATCTATCTATCTATCTATCTATCTATCTATCTATCTATCTATCTATCTATCTACTGTTTTTTTTTAGCTTTTTAAATATAATTAGCCTATCTAAATGTAAATTATTTTATTCCTAATCTTTTTTTATTGGTAATTAACCAGACAAAACACAACTGTACATTCATTGAATCAAAAAGAGAAGGGAAAAAAAACGACACATTGTCTTATATTAAATCCCTCCCTCCCCTACTCAAACTTCCAAATTAACATAGGCCTACAGTTTTTTTGAATTGCTAAAACTCTAAATCCCATTCTCTGAACCAAATTCTCAACAAATAAGTCGAATAAATCACTCTTTTCTGTAAAACATTAAACAAGTTCAGGTAGTTAAGACACTCTTTGCAAATCTCATGCACTCTTTTTGCAAAACTCTAAACACATTTTCACTCACTAAAACATGTGTTGCGCTGTGATGCACGTAGGCCTACAGTATGTTTCAAAACGCTAAACACAGGCAGGCAAAAGTTAAACACAACTGCAACACAGTTGCCATCGTTTACATACGACTCAAAATTGTTCACATGTGTTTCTAAAGATGTGACCAAACCAACTGTACAAAATACAAATTAGTTCAGAGAAAATAGTGCACTGAATGTTGATACCAACAATGGATGTAAACAATATAAGAGGGAGAGGAGGAAGCGTACGTGCAAGAAGTGTTGAATGGGAAGAGGGTGAGGACGAGGACGAGAAAGAGCAAGGTGTGCTGGAGAATGTTGTCAAGGCTGGATCTGGCACAGAGGGGGTTTCCCTTTGCCTGGCAAGAGACAAAATTGTCTGTGATGTGGACAAGGTCCTCCGGCCGGACCCAGCATGAAGAGGCGATGCTGAGGCAGAATGAATCTCTCATTGACCTTGATTTTGCAGTTGCACAACTCTTTTGATTGTATTGTAACATGCTTTTACTGTAATTTAGAGTTTTTCAAACTTTTTGGCTTTTGCAATTGGGTCACTCTATTTTCACAGTAAACTATTTATTTACCTTACTACAGTAAATTGGGATTATACTTTTTTTTACATAATTGCAAAATCTGTTTACTTTGTTACAATATAGGCCTACTTTTTTTCTGTAACTGCATTCTGGATTCTGTGCTCTCCATTTTTTTGATGTAGTGTCTAACGAATGATCATTAGTGTTTATAATATTGACTCGCTGTGTGTATGATCTGAAAGCAGATCAAATGTTTTCGAGGCAATTATTTGATTTTGCCAGAAGAGTCAGAGGTTCTCTGAATGTAGTTTGAAGATTTGGTTTTGTGTTTACGGTTTTGAGAAAGTGGGTGATGGTTCTGAGAAATGTGTTTTAGCAATTCAGAAAAACAGTAAAATCAGTAACTCACACCCTACATTCAAGATAGAGAAGTAAAAAAGAAGAAGAAAAGAAATAAACAACAACAATAAAAATAAACAAATTAATATTTATTATTTTCTCTCACCAATATGAATCTTTCCTCTTTCAATTAGTTGTTGCTAGGATTTAATTACAGTGCATTCCCAAATGTAAATAATTGTAAGACTTACTGGGACCCTTGGAAGTTTGCTGAGGCCCAGTGGTCCCCAAATCCCTGGTTGAGAACCACTTATATATATATATATATATATATATAGATTTTTTTTGTTTTTAGACATTTTTATACGGAACTTGCTCTGTCTATTGTTACTGAAACTCTCTGATATTTTGGGGAAGAGGTAAAACGTTCAAATCCAGGAATACAGAACTTTGTGACCAGAAAGTTAATAGAGGTGTTAGTTTCATTGCCATTTGCATTCATATGGTTCTACTCTACTGTACATACCAGATGACCCATTTTGTGATGCATCATGTATAAAATAATTAAAAAAATTATCGTTGCAAACAGTATCATGAGGCTATGCATCAATTGTTGACAATTGTTTACCCATGCTAAACAATTCCATGTGCACTAGCATAGTCATGAACAAACAAATACTTAAACTTTCTGTTTTATAAGTTTGTTTGTTTTTTCAATTCAAATTCAAAAATTCAAAAATTCAATTCAAAAAAGCTTTATTGTCTATCCCCACAGGGGGGTAGAAAATTGTCTTTAGACAAGGGCTCAACAAACAGTACAATACAAAAGACAACCACACTATTTAAGACACGCCTCCCCCCTCCTCCCCTCCCCTCCCCTCCGCTCCCCTATTTCCTATTTAAAATATCAATGGCAGTCGGAATAAAAGTCTTCTTATACTTGGCCTTTTTCACCAAAGGTACTTTATATCGTCTACCAGATGGAAGTACATTAAATGAACTATGCAGGGGATGAGTAGAGTCTGTCACAATAACAGACGCTTTCCTTTTCACTGCCGCAGTGTAAAGATCAGACAGAGTTACTTGTTTCTCACCAATAATTTTACCAGCCATAATTACAATCCTTAACAGTCTATTTTTACTTTTGACAGAAAGAGAGTTAAACCAGGATACAATGTTGAAAGTAAGCACAGATTCGATAAGTGATTTATACACCACTATCAGAATGTCCTTTTCAACATTAAAACTCCTCAATTTCCTCAATAAACCTAGACGTTGATACGTCTTCTTAAAAACATTTTCTGAGTGCTTATCAAATTTAAACTGGGAGTCAATCTCTGTACCCAGGTATTTAAAAGATCCCACCTGCTCAACTTCCTCTCCATTAAGTATCAAAGGCTTAAAGAGTATACCTGCATTATTAGCCCCACAACACATTTCCTTGGTTTTGTTAATATTAAGCTGCAAAGAACTCTCCTCCATCCAGGCTGTGAGAGAATCAACAAAATCAAAATAAATGTCCAGTGATTGGATATCCTTCACACATCCCACCAGTGCCATATCATCTGCATATTTTATAAGCATCAGGTTATCACTATTACAGGTTATCTCGTTTGTATAAATAGAGAAAAGCATTGGGGATAAAACACATCCTTGTGGGAGACCAGATTTTAAAACCACATTCTCTGACTTTTCGCCATTTACCATTACATGTTGTGGACGGTCCCTTAAAAAACAATTAATCCATAAGATCAAGGTTCGATGCACCTGTAGCTCCTCCAGGCGCCTCAGAAGTGTGTTTATATTCACAGTATATTTTACATTCTCAAACAATAGTTTTTGCCTTTAACGTTTTAAAACGAAAGTCAACAGATCCAAACTCTAGGACTTTTCAGAAGAGAAGAGAAAACTGGAAGAGAAATATAGAAGTGTGTACCCTGCACTGGTTAGGAAGGTAAGTCCATGGGAGTTTGAGGAAGTGATACATACAAGAAAAAAATCTGACCACCATCTTACCGCAACCACCCCCAGATATGGTTTCAACACAAATGAGAAAAAAGTTAAAAAAAAACTACACATTTGGTCATTTTCTGATTCAGTGACCTCATTTTAATAGAAATTGTATCACTATTACAATTTACGCAAGTAATACTGGATTTCAACCTGCATCTGCGTCATACAGTTTATAAACAGAGTGATTCCTTTTTATTGAAATAAAATAATTCCTCTAATACTTACAATCACCACAGCAAAACATGAATATGCAAGACAGAATAGTAACACTGACATTTGAATTAAGCTGTTGTGGTTATTTTTAATAGTGCAGCAATAACAAAACTGCTGTAACAGACTTTTGAAACTGACCTTAGGTATTTTGGTCGGATACGCTCTCATAAAGCAGAAGTCCCTTCTCGCATGTCGTTCATTCACAGCCCATCAACTGTGGTATAACAGATGGTTTAGTTAGTGGTTATGGACTCAATCACAGTAAATATGGTGGATTTATTCACGCGAGGCATAACCCCATGGGAAAAGTAACATACGACTACAGAAAATCTGTATTCTGAACCTATCAAAATGCAAACGAGAATGTTTGAGCGTGAATTAATCATTCAACTGCATGTTAACGGAAAACACTGCATACTGAACTCACGGGTTAATACTTTAAAATAAAAAGCATAAAAACTGCATGCCGCAAGTCACTTGCATTTAGGATACTTAATTTATCCTTAAATGGAAATTCAGACATCATGAGCAGCATCAGGTGTGAATGTCTTTATCTAGACATAAACTCAGGTGGCACTGTGCCTGTGGACCTTGTTGTGGGGGTCATACTACAGTTCACGACAGGGCATAAAGGCTCATGGGCTTTGAGGGCATCTGTTAAGCATTGCTGTTCCTCAATCAAAAGCTGGACTTCCTTCCTCAGCAGGCTGTTCTCCTGTTCCAGACACTCGTACTCCTGGTTAAACAAAATTTCAGTATGTCAAAAACCACATCAATCATCACATGCGCATCACTGTGCATTTGGTGTATCTTCCCATGTCTGCCCACTTATTGTCAACATGTCTGTATGGGGCAAAACCTGTTAATCCTGCAGTTTACCGGAAAGAAAAAAAACAAATGCTGAAATCAACATATTTTACATTCTATACAGTAACTTATATATTATAAGCAGGTTACAAACCTCGTGCAACTCGTCAGCTCTCTGGGTTTGTTTTTTACGGCTTCTCTGTGCAGCAACTCGGTTCTTTTCTCTTCTTTTCAACCTTTTCTCATCATCATCAGAGCTCTGAATCATAATCAGATTTTGTAGAAGTTATGCTGTGTTGTTTCTCGAACATTTTGCAATACTGTACAGGATTAACGTATTAGTAAACCATAAAATTATTTTGGATGGTGGCACTGATCCATCGACGAGAATGAACATGTTAGATAGTAGTTTGTAAATTATGTAGGCTACATTTTTATTCATTTATAACATTGTTTATGCGTTTGTAATAATTTAAAGAAAAGAAACAAGCATAAAAAGTAACATACCTCACTCTTTCGAAACAACCGTAAAGCTGGAGCATCATTTCGAGTAAAGTTACTTGTCGCATTGAAAAGTGACATGACAGGTGCAGGAGAGCACGAGCACAATGAAGACTTACGCCCACTAAACTGGATAGAAAATTAAAGCAGCAAATTAAGAGGCCGTGTTAATTAACGCAAAGTTAGACATTTTTAAACTGTCAGTCAACGTGCTACAGTGACATTTAGTGATTTCTTGCAAATGCCGTCGGCGGATGTTCTTTGAAGTCACGTGGTGCTCTCGAGGACGCCACAGTAACTTCTGTCGGTTTTCGCTTTTGGGTCATTCCACGAAATGACCATTTTGAAAAGGTGCCTTTTTTAAATTTATTATTAAAACATTTTATGGGGTTAATCAAATAAGTTACATTTACGTTACGTCAATACCCTACGGTGGCATATGACTTATAAGGTAACATGTTTGACAGTTAATTTAGCCATACTAACCTTGTGGTCAAAGTTACGACACTATTATGGGTTTGATATATAAATTAATCCCGATATTCTTTTCAATCCGTTTACTTTACAATTTTGTCAAGTTCCTCCACCCTTTTTGACAAAATGAGACAAAAAAATATAGTGTCAGATTTTCATCTTTGTTCACGAGGGATACAATAGAGGGACCCTTTCAATTAGTCCACGTGTATAATAAAATAAATATGCCAGTTAATTTGGAAACCAACACTGGTAGACCAAGAACACCTTGTGGTATGAACCTGGACCACATCATCACAACAGTTCTCTAAAAATGTAATTTATTGGATTTAATGGAAAAAGAAAGTGATGAAACACTTATTTTCTTCTAAACTACATGCATGAAGTATTTCTGACCAGAATATCTATTTACATTAAATGGGTAAGAATCAGCATACAAAACACTTGTTTAGTAGCAGGTGTCAATGCACTCCTATACTGCCCTTCTCCATTTCCACACGAATGCACAAACACATACACATTAAATTGCTTTTGCATCAGTCTTTTGGATGATTTTTGGAGCAGGAATATAGTCTGCACTGTATTCTGAATCAGAAGCAGCTCTTTTGATACTGGACGGAAGCCTGTGGTGAAGGTCTGGACAGACATCTCCTACTGAGCTGCCGAACACTTCTCTGTAGACTTCCACCGTCTCCGCTGAAGTCTGCATGTCGAGAACTTGACGCAAGCCCTCAGCTGCCTGCTTCAGACTTTTCAGAGACTGAAAAGAATGAAGGAAAATGGGGAATGTTAATACAAATGTATTTTTGTCTATAGCCATTACTGAGATTTTCAGCTTGTTAGTATACTTAAAGATTTTTGAGTTTAAATAGACAATCACATAGTAACATGCAATTCAGATGTACATGCAATCCAGAAGAACTGTATAAAGGTAAATAACATTGATTTGTACCTTCATAACCGTACTGGCTTGTTTGAACATTGTAGGTACAGCAGCGGAAACATTTCTGATGATAGTGTCTGTGAATACAATGTTTAACAGGTATTTATTAATATTGGATAAAACACTGTTTCTATCACAATGTACTTTTGCAAAAAAAAAAAAAAAAGGATTGGGGCACACACCTTGAGCTGGATCCGGCTTTATCTCTTGTGTCTTCACTGCCTGTTCATACAAACCCTAAAATAATGGATGAACAGTACAGACATATGAGCTACATTCACACAGCAACATCAGGGGATTCAGTCTTCTAGAAAAATCAAGCTGAGCTGTTCACAGAAAAAGCTAAAAGTTTATTGCACTTTTTATCCCAGTGTCTCATGAGTTACAGCAAACACAATAGATCATTTTTGAATATATTAGGACATCTAGTGGCCAGAGGCGGAACATCTAACATTTTAACAGAATTCATTTACAGCATGATGGGTGTTCCCAAATAGTTTAAAATGAACAAATAATAAAAATATATAATCATATTAAAATTAATAGTCATTTTCTAATGTTATTATTGATTAATTAATTTATTATGTTTTCCTTAGAAACATCGCAGTTTGGATTTAAACAGGCAAATGCTATGACTGGATCATTATTGCAGTGATGATTGTTTCTGCTTTCTAGCATGTTATATGTTTGGCAACAGTTCTTTTAACCCTAATTGATGGAGTATGTAGCTTTTCATTTCTTAAACAACCATGTAGGACACATCAAGGCTATATTCCAGGATGACAATGTCAAGATTCATCAGGATCAAATTGTGAAAGAATGGTTGGGAGCATGAAGAATCATTTTCACACATGAATTGGCACCTCTGACTGAGTCCCCAGACCATAAATTCATTGATGGAAATAACATCACAACATTTATAAAATGTTTCATTTTTGTAGGGCTGGGTATCGATTCAGATGTTCCAATTCGATTAGATTTCGATTCGACTCAGTGAATATAGATTTAATACAAATCCTATATTTATATATATATATATATATATATATATATATATAAAGAACAGTGAACATAAGTTTACAAGTGGTTAATTAATAAAAAGAAATTAAGAACCACAAACCTGTATATTAAACTTTTTATTTTAGGTACAACTCTATATTTCAAATGCATACAATGTATAGACAGGATTTTGACGCAAGATGAAAAATCGATGCTGAAAATTGGACAAGTCAGAACAGTTGCATGCCTTGATCAAACAGGATCAGGTTATTTTATGTTTAAGATAAAACAAACATAAATAAAAATCGATTCGTGGCCTTTGAGAATTAATAGATTAATAGAAACATTTATTTTTTTGCCCATCCCTACATTTGTCACACTTCATCAATTAGGGTTAGAAGAACTGTTGCCAAACATACAGCATGCAAGAAGCATAATAATCACTGCAATAATGATCCAATCATAGACTATTAGTGCTGTCAAATCGATTAATCGCATCTAACATAAAAGTTTGTAAATCTATGCGTATAGCCTATATACACAGTACACACAGACTTCTAATAACCTTTCGTAATTCATAATTATTTGTGTAATGGAGTTTTAAATGAAAAGAAAAACAGCATGTCTCACCAGAAGTTTCCTCTCTGCTCTTAATGATCGCACAACCTGCTTGCGTATTTGTTTTGGGTAAGAGTTGCGTTTGCAGGCGGTCTCTACTATCTTCTCATCCAGAATGTCATTTACAGTGCTCTCATTATCTATATGAAAAAAGGGTTCATTATGTCGTTGCCTTGGTTTGCAAAATAATTTCTCTGAAACTGTGACAGCAACTTACCTTCACAATATTCCTCTGACGCCTCGTCCCATGACAAGCCACCAATAACTATATTTTCTTGTACTGTGAACTCAAAATTCTAAAAGATAAAAGAGACAAATAAGGTGAATGGAAGAAGAAACAAAGACTATGACAACAAACAAAGATGATGAAAAACCCTTTTGAGTTAATTAACGTTAGTCTAAATACATTTACCATTACAAAAATGTACCATAGTTTTGTTATAGTAAAAGTATAGTAACCATGATATTTTTGGCGGATTGCTTACCATTTGTATAACCAGTTTTACTACAAATACCATGTTTTTTTGGTTTTATTTGTAGTAAAAAGGCATAACTAAGTTACAGCCACAGTTGCAATAAAAGTCGATGTCATAAGTAACTTATGATTACCACAAAAATACCACAGGAAAAACAGATGGTGTTACTATAGTAAAAAACAAAACAAATACATGGTAAACTTGATATGGACAAGAATAATCCAACTGACATATCTTTTATGTTACTAGACTTACCACAACCATTTCTTGCAACAGTTTGGCCTTATCTTCCTGAGAAATATGGCATTGGCATTCGAGCAACTTTTTAAATAAGTCTTTATACTTTTCAAGTTGATCACGAACAATTTTTTTCGACTTGACATTTACTCTCGAATCCGCCCCACTCGCACGGTCGTCCTCCATGACTGCCGCTTATTTTTCAAAATAACAACACTGGAAACGGAAGCAGAATGTGTTACTACGAAACAAACCCTGAACAACAATTCAGCGGAAGAAACGTTCCACCCTTCACGCAATAGAGAGACGCCACACGGACAGATGGGAAAATGCCTTTAATAGTGATCATGAAAACCAAAACAACGAGTGGTTTAAATACAAGATTATTTTTTTAAGAGAAAAATATTTTATAGAGGCTACACTAAAATCATGGCTAGAGAGTTCATTGACTGCCACTGTCACCTTTCAGCAAATGAGTTTACACAGGTAAGAAAACTCATGGAGTCATCAAATTTAATTGCGAAAGACTTATCGTAAAGTAATAAGGTCTTTATGGTCTTATCTGTCACCTCTTTATAAATGTGTGTTACAACCGTACTGAGAGATAAAAAAAACCCCACTTAAACCAGACTAAGCAGGTTTGCTGGTCTCAGCTGGTTTAGCTAGCAGACTGTAGTTTACAACTAATCTAATTATTCTGCCATGGTACAGGTACTTATAGTAGGCCACTTTTTGTCCTAAAAGTTACAATAATCAAAGACAAATGTTTTCATATAGTGTTTTATGTAAACTGGCTATGTATGTCGTCAGTATCATTGTGTACATTACTATACAGATAAAGGTATCAAGTTCACAGTGATACAGTTACCGAAGTTAGTTATTTTCATGTTTTTCCCCAGGACATAGATGATGTACTTCTGAGAGCTAAAAAAGTAAGCTTTTGTCAAGCCTCTGAAAATAAATAAATAAAAACTGATAATAAACTAGATCCAAATGTTGCACCAATGACCTCTTCTGTTTAATGTAATTTTAGACTGGAGTGAAAGCTCTTGTGGCAGTTACAGAGGGAGCCAGTGAGTTTGAGAAAGTTATTCAGTTGTCAAAAACGTAAGTTGAACACAACCTCTCATGTGTCAACAAAAGCTTTGGACGAGAACGTTCTCACTTTCCTGAATCTCAAAAGCATCGTGTTGCCTTTAGAATGACTAAAGGTGATGATACACAGGGCAACTTTCAACATTGCCCTCAACGGGCAACCAGATGAGACACAGGGCCCACGGCCGATATAAATTATCCAGATATTCATTTATTGCCCATTTTCAATGGGAAAGTGCCCAAGCAACAATCACTCGGCAAGATTGCCCAACAACATTGCCCAGCTCAAAAAGTTGCCCTGTGTATCATCACCTTAAGTTATAGTATGCTTACCGGACGAGCACCGGACACATGCAGCTTTACTAATATTTAATGTTTTTCTTATAGCTATCCTGGTTTTGTGTTCCCTTGTTTTGGCATTCATCCCCTTCAAGGGTCAGGGAAAGACTTACACAGTGTCAAGGTTCAGGTGAATATGACAAAAATAACAAAGAAAGATAGTTTTACTGTGCTTCATGTGCTATATTATGATCTTTTGGCGCAACAAGATTAGTTTTGTTTTGACAGGACCTGGAGCCATTCCTTCCTTTGTTCCAGAAGCACAGAGATAATATTGTTGCCGTTGGAGAGGTAGAGTATGATAGTGTCTTGGAAAATTATTTTAGACAGACACTATTGGGGATTTTTTTATAATATTATTTGAATATTATTCTGAATTATTTGACCCAGCATTTACCAAACCAAAATAAAACATTAAGCTTACTTTAATTACATAGTTGTTATACCTTTTTAATGGACAGTCTTGTAGCATAGAAGTTGAGACTTCCAAAGAGGCCTCAATATGACTTAAAATTATTATAAAATAAGACAGAACTAGCATTAAAATAAGCCAAAACAAGTAAATATACACAAGATATAAAAACAAACTAAATACATATTTCTTATTTTAATTAATGTCCTCAACAACTGTTTCTTTTTTTCTATGAAGAAATCTAATTCCCATAGCAAGCCTAGTTTCAAAAGTGTGATTTCTAGACCTGGGGAAAAAATCATGTAAATGAGTCAAATCTTGTAACACCATGGACGTTGTTTTGTTTTACTGAAAATAGATTTTTCTAGTTGTGAAAAGCTCTAACATATTTTATCAGGTAGAAATTTGCAGGAAAAAACCCCCAATATCCTTAATCTTTATCCAGTAAATCATTAAAACTTGAAAAGTCATGGGGCCTTCAAATATTGTTGTATATAATGGAGGGCCTTGGAGTCAAAAAGATTGAGAACCACTGGTCTAGGGATAATGAAACTGTTTGTACGAGACTAGTAGAGATGGGCCTCACATTTAAGTCGACTTTGAATCTTGAGTCTCTCTAGTTCAACTACTTGTTTGATCTACTGTATGCTTACCAGTATTTTTTTTTTCTCAACAGATTGGTCTTGACTTTACCCCCTGGTATGCAAATACTAATCAAGAGCGTGATGAACAGATACAAGTCTTTACAAAACAACTTGAAATATCTAAAGAACTGGATTTGCCCGTGTGAGTGGCAATATTACTTTTTACTAGAGAGTAACAGGAAACCATACAAGCCGCCCAGAAATGTTGCATGATTTGCCACATTACTTTGCACACAGGGCTCCAGACTGCGACCTTTTTTCTTGCTGGTGCAACTAAATGTTGTTAGAGGTGGCACTGGTGCCACTACCATGTTGCCTAACTGATAAGAGCTGCAATTTCTGTTGCATATGAAAACATCAAATGAAACAAAGAACGAAACCGCACTTCTCGCCGCAGTATTAATAATATTGCTGCGAGATCTAGTGAGAAACGTTTAAATTCGGCGCAGAATTCTCTGTTATAAACCATAGATATCAGATCAAACAGCGCTGATGTGGAATCCAGAAGAAACATTGTTCCATGAACAAACGAGTTATAGAAGGCTTTTCAGTCCATAAATCACCAATTTAATTTGTAACCATGGTATTGTGGCAGAAATAGTTGAATAGTTTGTACATTGTTCATGTCAGGGTTCGTGAGAGTGAAATTCAGGCACTTTTTCAAGTGCTTCACACTTTTTCCAGCACTTCAAAGCTCTAAATGTAATTCAACTTTAATGTTATTTTTAACGTGATAAAAAAACAACAACAAAAAACAACATGGTTACACTTTATTTTAAGGGGTCCTTGTTACAGTGTAATTATACATTTAAGTACTGAGTAATATTAATTAACTACTACATGTACTTACAGTATATGGTAAGAATTAGATTTGGTTAAGGTTTAGTTTATAGTAATTACAATAGAAACTACATGTAATATTTGTAACAAGGACACTTAAAATAAAGTGTTACCAAAAATATTCAAAGTTTTCCGGAAGAACTTTATTTTACTGTCCTGTTCCCCATGTACATACGATGTACACTGTAAGTACAAGTTTTTTTTTTTTTTTTTACATGTGACTTGTTGATAAAAATTATTTTTATCTGCATCTCAACTCAAGCTCAGTGCTTTACTGTCAAATGTGCATTTCCAAGAAATAAATGTTTAATATTATTAGTTACTGCACTAATTAATGCAAAATAATAGTAATTTTATGATTAAATTACCTTCATGATAAAAACTCCTGCTACCAGATCAGGTGCCACCATCTGTAGAAGTTAGTGGCACCGGTGCTACTGCCCTCAAATGTTAATCTGGAGCCCTGGCATAGCAACATTAATTGTACATCCTGAACTGACAGTTCATTTTGCAGTCTCTTAGACGCTCTTAACTCTTGTCTTGAAGGAATGTACATTCCCGCTCAGCAGCCAAGGTTACCATAGCCACAATGAAAGAACTAGGTAAGAGCTACCAGCTTGCAAATCATTGTGTCTCTGTGACCTTTCTCAATTTCTTGCATAATTCTGATTTTATGTCTTCAGGGATTAGCCAAGCATTGTTGCATAATTTTGCCGGGAAGCCATCGGTTGCCATGGAAGGGGTTCAGGCTGGATTCTCCTTCTCCTTTCCGCCTGCCGTCAGCAAAACCGAGCAGGTTTGATAAGGATTCTCCTTTAATAACTTTGCTCGTCTGCCATAAAGTCATAAATAAGTATGATAAGTATGCAATAAAGACATGAAACATATATTAAAGAATCTCAGATGACCCTGTTCCACGTCGCACATCCCCGTACACAGAATGTATGTTTGAAGTTTGAACTGAAAATCTATGTATGATTTAACTGTAGAATCTCAGAAAAAATTTACTTTAAAAGGGTTCTACCATTTAGGTAATAATATGTACCTTTGAGGTACTAATATGCACTCTTTAGGTACAAAGGTGTACCCTTTTAAAGGGTACCGCTTCAGTGACAGTGTATATGTGAAAGACATAATAGTTTTGTTTTCTTTAATATATATACTATACTTTAAATGCAGAGAGCAAAATTAATCAGACAGATTCCACTGGAACACATTTGCCTTGAGACAGACTCTCCAGCCTTGGGGCTTGACAATCATGTAAGTCCTAATCTGTTATAGTAAACAGATTTTCTGTATGACTGAGATGTTTTGAACCTCACTGCCTGTGTTTTTTTCTTTTCATTTTACTGCTCTAGGTTAGAAATGAACCCGGAAACATAACGATCAGCTGTGAATATATTGCAAAAGTTAAGGGAATATCTCCAGGTGTAGTAATGGAAGTCACAACACAAAATGCCCTTCGGTTGTTTCCGAGGTTAAAAATCTAGAGTTAATATTATCTTATTTAATTTAGTAAATAAAGAGCTCACTCAAAAACCAATTGGTTTTATCCATGCACTTAAAATTAATGGAGTCTGGAGCTTTTAAGCTTCAAAAAATGATGCAAAATCACTGTAAAAGTATCATACAAGGATATGTTAGATTAGTGAGTAAATCTTTCTGGCCAGTTTTGGTTTGAGAAAAAATGTTTCCCATTAAAACATTACTCAAAAGTTTTTCTTTTCTGTTTCTTTCCAAATAAATTCATACAGGTTTTGATATAAGCATGATGGGCAAATGACAAATTTTATTTTTTGGGGTGAACTTTTCCTTTAATTGTATGCCAATGACTTTGTAATAATATTATTGTTTTTTATATGTAAAATAGTTTAAATAATAAAAAAAATAAAACACTATGTTTTATTGCCAGATTGGTTCATTATACATGTTTATTGCTATCTGGAGGAAAACATTTGCTCTGCACAGTGGTTGATTGCAGTTCCTCACACCAGGTGAGCATTATCTGGAAGGATAAAAAGTAGACCGTATTTGACTTTATCATGATGTTACCAAAATGTTACCATAATGCTATTTGAAGTATATTTGATAAGTTTCCCAACAAATTTAAAAGAGAGTTGAGGCTCATCTTACAGCTGTCTTCGAAATGCTTTCGCTCGGGATGTGTGTTGTTGTTGCTGCCCATCCAGGAGCACCTCTGCTCGGGACTCGCAGTCTGCAGCGCGCTGAACTCACAGCTTCTCCTGAGGTGACAACGGAAGTGCTTTCTTTCTGGTAAATTCCAAGATCTGCTGGTTGCCTCTACGCAACACCACGTCTCTCTCTGCATATTCAACTCGTACAGTTGGTCTTGCTTCGATTTCGACATGGTATTACTTATATGTAGTAGGCTACTTGTTAAGTCGAAACACCTATGAAGTCGAAATTACGGTGGCCGAAACAGTCAGTTCAGTCGTTAATGTTTTGAAAGTAACCATGGTAACCACGCATGTAATTTCTACCCATTAGTTAAAAAAATAATCTAAATGTCAGAATTCGTTGTAATTTAGGTCGTGTTTTGTTGGCTTTGTGTCGCGGATGATTCAGTTTGAATAGACATGTAAGTTTGATATCAAGAAAAACAATATTTTCTATGTATCTTTATCAATATATAGCCTGCCTATTCATATCTCACTGATATAGTATAAGAAATATGTGTAGCAGTATACATGAGATGTATAACTCAAAATTGTTTGTTTTCCACGCAGGCCACAACTTAGCACTTAGAATAAAATATAAGTGCGGACTTAAGAAAGAATCATTATAAAGCAAAATTAAAACTACCGTCAAATTCAGTAGGCCTAAATGTGTTATTAATAATTCTTTCTTATATCATCGCGCTTTATTTAATTTTACTCGGTTCACCAGCCAAGTTTGAACAGAGATTTCACCGTATTTTACCATATGAAAGGGCTTTACATATATTAATTTGTGTACAGTGTGCTTATTAAATAAATTAAACATTTTATGAATATAGAAAAAATACAATTTTATTTGCCACAAGAACAATTATATACTGTCCGTACTTTTAAAACGTTTTTTTTTTTGGTTTCCTTTAAAATATTTATCTAGAATTAAAAGTAATTTATAAAAAATAAGAAATTTGTTTTGCAAATTAAGAGGGAAAGAGAAGCCTGACGCGAGTAGTAGTCAGTAGAAAGGCTCGCCTGCTTGCCCCGCCCCTTCTGCTGTCTCATTGGTCCTTGCCAAGCCTATAAATCCGCTTACTCTCTGCGCTTACTGTAAGTGAATAAAAGGGAGCAAATCCGGAGTGGATGCGCAGATCACGCCATCATCATCATCATCATCTCTCACATGCTGCTGAAGCCGGTAGTGAAAGGAAACGTGGTCCCAATTCAGCCAATTCATCTTAAATTACAGCGTTTTATTTGCGTTATTATCAAGTGGACCTTCCGAAGACATCATCCCTGTCTCTTTGTGTCACGCACTTAACGTTACCGCCCCAGGAAACGTTTAGTCAGAGAATTACACATCTAGTACGATTTGATATGAATTAAAATCTAAGTGACTGGGTTAATTTTGCCGAAATGGTGGCAGGTGAGTTTCTTCCAGAGCAGCATGTTCTGCCTGACAGGCTTGACAACACACCAGACGGCATTGTCACGGAAGCAAATACAGACGACGACAGCGGCTACAAGGAGCTTTCCAATGGATCGGTCCATATAATATTGGATCCAAAGGTGCTGGAACAGGAGCTTCCACCACCGGATGAAAAAGAGGCGATGCTTCCCGCCGAGCACAATAACGATGCGCTCGAGACGAGACTCTACTGGAGCCGGTTCGCCGTTCTCGCCGTGTTCAGCCTTTATTCGCTAGTCAACGCCTTTCAGTGGATCCAGTACAGCATCATTACGAACATCTTCATGGAGTATTATGAAGTATCAAGCATTATGATTGACGGGCTCTCCGTGGTCTATATGGTCGCTTATGTGCCTTTAATCTTCCCCGCGACGTGGCTGTTAGATAAGAAGGGGCTGAGGATGACTGCGTTGTTAGGGGCCGGGTTGAATGCTCTGGGTGCGTGGGTGAAGTGCGCCAGTGTGGGGCCCAATCTGTTCTGGGTCACCATGACCGCACAGATCATATGCTCTGTGGCACAGGTGTTCATCCTTGGTCTCCCCTCCAGAATCGCGTCGGTTTGGTTCGGCCCGAAAGAAGTTTCCACGGCTTGTGCCACAGCGGTGTTGGGCAACCAGGTGTGAATTGTAAATGACATGTCATTAGAGATACATCTAGTTAAATATTACTCGACATTGATATGACAGTACGAATGTCACTTGCCTTGGTATTTAAAAGTACGAATAGGTTCCCTCAGGACAGCTTTATTAAATAATTTCACCTTATGTTGTAGCATTTACCAAAAATGGCATGGTTACAATAGTTTCCACTAAAATACCTGCTGGAAAATTCAGTTTTAGGTGCATTTTGGAATGTCTAAAATGATCATAAGTAGCTCTAAAAAGGGCTTTCATGCATTGAACAAGTACAAGTTGGTCCATATATTTGGAAGAATGTTAGTAACCAAACAGTTTCGTTTCCTATTGACTTCCATATGTTGTTATTATTATTTTGGCGGGAACTATGGTAACCATCATACATATTTGTTAGGTAGTATTTAAATACACAGTGATATAAACACTCATTTAAAGTGAGGCTATAAATATTTAACATTTTGTATTTATTGTTCTTAAAGGTTGTGGTGTTTTATTATTGTTTTATGTGCTTATTTTTGGTGACTTAATGGTCTGCTTATTTCCATTCAGCTTGGTGTAGCCATAGGTTTCCTGCTCCCCCCTGTACTGGTTCCCAACACTGTAGACGACAAAGATCTCATGGGCCACAACATCAGCATAATGTTCTATGGAACAGCTGGAGTTTCAACTCTGCTCTTCCTTCTAACAATATTTGGTAAGAATCCGTATACATTTCACATTCTTAGCACTTTTTAAGATAAAGGAGATAAAGAAATAAACATAAACAAAAATAATAATACGACTGATGCATGTAGTCGAAACAAATCATGGTCATGGAAAATATTCTTCTCTCATTCATTCTTCTCCATGCTATGCTTTTGTCATTATGGTTAACAATACACAATCAACTAGTTCACTTGGAACAACTTGCAAATTATCTTTGCATATATTGATGTGTCATCCGTCATCAGAATATGGGAAAGGGCTGTTTTATAAACATGGGCAGGAGAGTTGTATGCAACAATGATTCATATTTTAAAGAGTATCAAAATTAATACTTGTATGTTAATCCCTCACCACATGTTTAGTAATCTGATTATCAGAATTACATGTTCATGTGTGTCTCATTCTCACTTGTTTTCTCAGTCATTAAGGATAGCCCTCCACTCCCACCCAGCAAAGCCCAAGCTGTTCTCTCCACTGGTCCAGCTGAAGACTATTCATACAAACGATCAATCATAAACCTCTTTAGGAGCAAGCCCTTCATTCTGCTCCTCATCAGCTATGGTGAGAATTATTCAATACAAAAATGGAAAATTCTGTCATAATTTAAGGCCATTCACACCAAGAACGGTAATTATACGATAACCGCACCACATCATTCTGTTTTTTCTAAGCGGTCTGACACATTAAATGCTTGAGGTGGCAGGATGGATTCTGATTGGCTGTCAATGTTTTTATCATTCATCAACTGGAAAAATAGTGATTCCAGCAATATTGTTCCTCTATGCCGTTATCGTTATAGTTGTAGTTTGGATTCTGCTATTCTTTTAATTTTTAGAACTATATACTTATCCTTATAGTTTTTGTCCTTGATGTGAATAAGCCTTAACTCACACGTATGTTGTTTTAAACCTGTATGACTTTCTTTCTTCCATGGAATTCAAAAGCTATATTTTATTTTTCTTTAAAATATGATATATTTCATTAAATACTTTAACTTTACTTTCACTGTTTCTTTTATTTAATCTTAATATTTTCCCAGTGCTTTTAATAGAGCACCATACACCATTTATTATGAGATGATTTCTGTCATTTTATCTTGTGTATGGCTTATTAAATTAATAGTGTAATTATACAGTATCAATCAACCTTCTCTAATGCTACAATTTCAGTTTTATTATATAGAAAGTTCTGCACTTCAGCAATACCTTTTTTAAAGCATAATTTTCAAAATATCTGATAATGTTTTTAGGCATCATGACCGGATCATTCTACTCTGTATCTACACTTCTCAATCAAATGATAATTACTTACTATCCGGTAAGTGACATTTGATAAACTCTGTGTTTACCGCTGCAGCATGACTATGCCATGTGCATGTGTGTAGGGGTCTTTCTGGGTCCGTCTCAGGCGCACCACGGTACTCTTTGCCGGGAATGGGCTGCTGGTCACCGATTTATTGTCCAGTTCATTAGCTGCTTTTCATGCATGCCTGCTACTCATGACAGAGCCCAAATGAAAAGACAAGCTCTTCTGTGTACATTCCCAAGTTTGATCTGTTCTGCAGGCTTTCCCACAAGGCTTAAGTTTATAGTTTCACTTCCATATCTGGTCATGAGATCTTTTAAAAAGAGGTGTCCCTGACAAATTAATGAAAGTTGAGACAGATGCACACTGTACGATTTATAATAGTCCTTTACCATTTTTGCTTGTCATACTGTACAAACATGATCCCCGCTGTAAGCCATGTCACAGTGCGCGACATTCAAGATTTGTTAAAAGGGAAAAATAAGATGTACAGTATGTGGAGCTAGTGGTGGTTTGTTGTTGTCACACTAATTGCATCATCAGGTTCTGCACTCCTATTGGTTTTTGATTTGCTGGTTGTTGTAGGAGAAGCCACACTGCAGGACTGTGACTCGACTGCTTAGACTGGCGGTAATATTTGATCGTAATGGTCATTAGTCAGCTGTCGGTGATCAAAGACTACAGATATTGGCTTAGGATCAGAGGAATCTTAGGATTCGGAAAAAGTTGTCTCAGACGTCCAAATGGTGGCCAAAATCGTACAGTGTGCACCTGGCTTTAGTCAAAAGTGTTGCAGTAGATGAGGCCTAAAATACATTCTGGGCCTGGTTGCAACAAACGTCTTGAGCTAAGAATATTATTAGCCATAATTATAAAACAAATTAGTGTTGTCACGATACTGAAATTTCTAACTTCGATATGATAACTTAAAAAATATTGATTTAGACTATTCTCAATACCACAGGGAATCTGGAAATACTACCATATAGATATTTTGTATTATTATCTCATAATGTTCTATTAATTCATTTAGGTGATTTTGTTGCACTAGCATTCACACTGCACAGGGAGGTTTTATTTGAAACTTTGAACTAAATTTACAAAAAAGCAAGTAAACAGTCAGTAAAATAAGAACAAATAAACAAATTGCAAACGATAGCACAAATAATAACAATAGAACAAAAAAAACCCAAATTAAATGTTTTTCAGGTGGGTCTAACAGTAATATCCGGGTAAGAAATGCTACAAAAATTAAATAAAGTAGGTTAATCAAATGTAAAATAACACTGGATAGTCTTCATTCAGATAGTGATCTGTGTATCGATCTTGCATAAAATGAGAATTGGAATCGTTTCATATATTTCTGTATCGATACATATCGAAATATCAATATTTTTGACAACTAAAACAAAGAAGGGGTTTTGGGGGGGGGTTGTTGCAATCAGCTGCTGGTTAAAAAACTGGAGGCATATTGAACTTGGTTTTTGAGCTCTTTATACCAAAATCCTGAGATCAAATCTCACTGGAGGACAGTATCACTAGCATGTTTAAATGTGATAGAAATGTTAAAATCACCTTTAAACCTTCCATCATTTTTTTATTTAGGGTGAAGAGCTTAACACAGGGAGAATCGGCTTGACTTTGGTGGTGGCTGGAATGTTCGGCTCAATACTGTGTGGAGTCTGGTTGGATCGTACAAAAACCTACAAGTATGTATATCTGCTAAACCAGTGGAATCTTTGTCTAAAAACATTTTGATGTATTGGCTTTGAAACATTAAGCTCTTGCTCTCATATTAGTACCAGATTTTCATTATTAGCAGCTGCTAATCCATAAATTGTTTTGACTATGTTGAGTATATTTATTTTCTTTCTAATTTTTAATTTAAGGTGCCGCCACATTTTCACAAAAATATTGTGGGCAAAAAGGTCCATTTTCTGTTGTCAATAGTGTACAGGGTGGCCGCGGGTCCTTAAAAAGTCTTAAAATGTCTTAAATAAACTTTTCCTAATAAAAGGCCTTAAAAAGTATTAAAATGTCTTAAATTCAGATTCGATGGACCTTAAATATTTCTGGTCACATTACCGCTAAAATTTCTCCAGTCTGACGGACCCAATGTCGGTCAAATAACCAGTGAAGCATCGAATCGCAAGAATGATTCAGATTTTATTACATAAACAGCGATTGATAATGATAATGTATTTCTGGTATCGCTGTTGAGACTCGCCCGTCTCTGTGAGAAATCAAAACAAACGAGCACACGAGCATAACAGCACACATAATAAAAATCACAGAAGAAACATACTGAGGTAAAAATTCAAAATGTTGAGTTTTTTATTTACATATGATATAGTTAAGTAACATAACATTACAGGAGCTATTTTGCTGAATATTCTCACGATTGCAAATGTAACATTGATTTTAGTTTAATAAACAAGTAGTTAATATTAAATTACTTCACTGACTTAGGTTAAACATTAAATATTACATATACGTATGTAATATAATGTGTATTTCCATCACAGGTTTGGTCTTAAATTTCATTCAAAGTGGCATTAAAAAGGTCTTACAAAGTCTTAAATTTAACTTGTTAAATCTGTAGACACCCTGGTGTAGCGACGTATGAATTACAGCTCACACAGAAGTCACTTGCAAGCCAAGCACCTTTCTGTTGGTCAACACAGCGAATTTACCGGACCAACTTGAACCCATTGCGAAATCTGCGTGGGGAAAACTTTTGTCCCCACACAAAAAAGATTTGAGACGAGCAGCTTGTCAAAAGTTTTGAATTGTTCCTTTCACCCTTTAGATTGACAACATTGATCGTCTACGTGCTGTCCTTTATTGGAATGGTGGTGTTCACATTCACGCTGAACGCTGGATATCTGCTTGTTATCTTCTTTACTGCTGGGGCCTTAGGGTAAGCCTGCCATTAAAGTTGAACTTATTGTGCCCGTCACTATAACTTCTGAAATTAGTAGAAGTATTTCTGAAGTCCAGACAGACCACTATTCCTTTATTCTCTCCCAAGCATAGTTTGTTTATCTTTTTTTAGTGCTGTCGATTAAATCGATTAAAAAACTGAACTAATTCTGTTTTTTTTTTTTTTTTTTTCTGTAATTAATCGTGATTAAAAACATTTAGTTTTTAATATTTTAGGTTTCCCATTGTTGTTTGTACATGCTGTCTAGCTTCTCCCATTAAAATTGTTCTCTACCATCCAGGTACATTTGACTCATGTTACTACTATTCTTTTCAAAAGGTTTTTTATGACTGGTTACCTTCCCATTGGCTTTGAATTCGGTGTTGAAATCACATACCCTGAGTCTGAGGGAACGTCATCTGGTCTTCTGAATGCTTTTGCACAGGTATGTGTGGCTTGCTCACTCAACTTGTTTCATTCTTGTAATAAGCTTTCAGTTGACCATTAATTCAAATTACTCACTGTTCGGTTTTAGGGTTGTGGTTTCGGTATGGTTCGATATGTGCTATGTTCAGGGATAAAAGGACTACTGTCAAATAAAAACAAATGATCAAACTACAAGCAACAGCACAAATAAATAGAGCAAAGATACAAAGATGATTTCCTTGTCTTTTGTTGTTTGATTAACATTAAAAACACATACAGACAGCAGGAATATAAGGCTGCTGTTACTTTTAGACATAATGCATGGATCCAGGACACTGATACTGAACAAATGCATTGTCTTTCTCGACTGTTAATGTTAACTTAAGTCTTAAGATATAACCTACTAAGTTTGCTAGAATACTTGACAAGACGGGTATATTGACATAAATTTTGTGTGAATTTGTGAATTTTTGCGCATGAATGCGCAAAAATGTTTAAATGTTTAAATGTTGCGCATAAAGGCTTAAATGAGTTTAGCTTAACAACAGATATCAATGTGTGCTGTTCAGGTCTCACCTGTGCTCGCGCGCTATCAACAGCCGGGTGATGACGGCGTAAATGACTGGTCATATTCAAGCATATGGCATGTTTAGTTTAGTGGTCGTCCTGTTGCATTAAACAAAGTTTAGTGGACGGCAGACTGTGTATCCATCGACAGTCATACATTAGCCTAACTCTGTTTGTCTGTTTTATTTATTTTAAACATAACATATTATAGATGTGTATGCATTATCAGATTTTAGATAAACAAGTGGGTGCTGAACCCTGGGTGGAGAACGGTACTTTCTATTTTGTTTATAGAGAACCATTACACCCCTAATTTTCCATGCACACCCTGGTAACCACTTTCAGTTTGAACAGCCTGGTGGAATGTGGAATCCTAGTGGAATACATTTAGATATTAACCTGGTGGAACACACCCACATTTAATTTGATAAGCTTAGTCCTTCCGCATTTACTCGGTTTATCTCCAACATGCTGAAGAACAGGTCTAGATTATTCTTAAATAAGTCATTGGTATTGAAGTATTTCTGTCTAATACTCTATCTTTAATTTTTAGGTGTTCGGCATCATATTTACTCTCATACAAGGGAAGCTGACCACAGACTACGGCCCACTCAGCGGAAACATTTTCTTGTGTGCTTGGATCCTCCTTGGCATTGTTCTAACAGGTTACTTTTCTTATTTACAGGCCTTTCCTATTATTGATCAGTATTGTATGTAGACAGCATTAAGAAACTTTTGTGTTGTTCCTACAGCTCTGATTAAATCAGACCTCAAAAGACACAACGTCAATGTGGGCAATACAAACAAAGGACAAGCAGTAAGTCTCATTTTTATGCTATTCATCACATTTGCAAAATAAATATGCCAAACACAGAGGCTCAACCATTCAAATCTTGATAATGTGAAGTGGAAAATATCTCAAGATCAAAGTAACATTTTAGGATAAAAAAGATGTTTGCCTGAGAAAACAGAACAAACTATGCAAAGTGAATATTCATTGGTACTGTCAAGGTTGAGGTAAGGTATGAGTCAAGGACTCAAGAATGCAGAATTTTATGGTCTTTTATGTAATAAAAAAACAAACAAAAACTACCCCGAGGGGGAAAACAGGACCGGCAGCAGGACTTGACTTGACTTGACCAACAACAAGGCACAGAAACACACGAGAGGGAACATTCTGGCACTGGACAATCTGGAACAGGACGATCTGGAACAGGACGATCTGACACAATGAGAATAAACACGGAGCAAACAAGGCAGATAATGAAGGAGAAAAGGTGGGGCAAATGAAACAATAAACAGATAACAAGAAGGGTGGGGTTACACAATAGACATGAAAGCACATGGCACAAAGAACCAGACAAGCAAGCCGTGCGAAAACACAACGAGAAAGCACATGGCTGATGTAAACACGAACCTTGTGCTACACAGAAAACAACACCACACACAGACAGAAGTGCGTACGGCCCGAGTGAACACGAAACAGAATACAATACAAACACACGGAGCATGAATGTCCGAACCCCCAAGACGGAACCGAAACTAAACTAGACCGAAGTGAACAGAAGACAATGACAAGACAAGACAAGACAATAGCAGTGTCAGAGTTCTGTCACCAAAGCCGAGAATAAACAGACCGAAGTGACAGAACCCTGACAGGTACAGAGAGGTCAAGGATTATGCCTGACGTGTTTGAAAGTAAATGTAATGGCAAGAAGTGTTATTTTACCTTTTATGTTTTTATTTATTTGTATTAGTATTGTTTTGGAAAAAATATTATGATATAAAACAAGGCACAGCATTTTTTTGTTCTTTGTTTTTCAATGTACACAACACTACCATTCAAAAGTTTGGGCTCAATAAGATTTTTTGGTGGCAGTTTATTTTGCAGTACGTGCACTTGCTTGTACTTAACTAATGAAGTACTGGGAAATATAAGGTTACTACCCAGTTATTACTCAGTTATTGTAATTACTATAATAAGTACATAGTATTTACATGTAAAATAAAGCAAAAAAAAAAAAAAGATAATTGTAAAGAAATTAATACTTTTATTCAGCAATGGTGCATTAATTTATAATGTTACAAAAGATTTCTGTTTTGAAGTAAAAGCTGTTCTTTTGAACTTTTTATTTATCAAATAATCCTGTAAAAAATGAATCAGATTTACCACAAAAATGGTAAGCAGCACAACATTTGATAATAATAAGAAATGTTTCTTGAGCAGCAAATCAGCATACGGTATTAGAATGATTTGTGAAGGATCGTGTGACACTGAAGACTGGAGTAATGATGCTGAAAATTCAGGAATTAATTATATTTTAAAATATATTACTATGGTAAATAATTATTTTATTTGGTTTTACTGTATTTTAGATCAGATAAATAAATAACATTTTAAAAATCTTACAGATCTCAAACCTTTGTTTGGTAGTATATTTGGCCTTCGATATCCTGGTTTTCAAGATAACCATTTCATCAATTAATTGCCGTCTTAAGGGACATGAAAATGTCTTTATGTGGACATGTCTTAATGAGATCTTAATTTGAACATGTGTTTCTCTCCCCTGAAGGTTCCCACTGAGCTGCCTTCTGATAAAGCGTCCAGTGACGTCAAGCTGGAGTCCTCTAGCTTACCTCACGAGACTTCAATTTAAGTCTTAAACGTTTCCAACAGCACATCAAAAATCACAAGAGATTACAGACTCTCCTGAGATGACTTGAAATCTCCTTATTTTGCTGTAATGTAATGATGTTATAGCACAATTTTCAGTGAAAACGGACTGATAAATGTTCACAAATATGCTTTAAATGAATTTCTGTGAATCTAGGCTGATTGTATATACAATCTGTCTCTTAATTATACATGCATTGCAAGCATTATTTTATTTATTTATTGTTTCAAGAATTGTGGACCAAATATTAGGATTTTAACATGGCTTGTAAGGCCTAAATGCACAATCACGTTGGTGTGACTGGAACAGCATATGTTGGTTTGCTTCGTCTCAAAGGACCTGTCTGACTGTGTGTTGCTGGGACGTTTCTAAAGTCTGCTGTTGTATTGTAGAATATCTACATGTAATGATAGTGTATACTGTATGTAAGTGCTTTAGCAAAATCGCCTATCATGAGACTGTGAAATCATTTCAAGTGCTTATGCTGTCATTGCAAGATAAAATCAAATATGTGTAAGTGCAACATTTTTGACCTGTGTAACACATACAGATACTAGGAGAAGGCTTGTTTAGTCTTTTCCAGAGAGCACAAATGAACCTTTCAGCATTTGTACCACGTTAAGAATGTGGTATGTTTAAAAAGGAATGTGATATATTGACACGAGTGAGGTTTTATGAATATGTCATTCCTCAGAAGTGTGGAAGAAAGAGCACTATTATTTTAATGGTTTATAAGTCTAAGTTTACTTGCTTTTAACTAATTTTCTTTTTTACTTTTGATGCATATTTATTAGAAAGATGGCTTTTTCCGGATTGTTTTCGTATTTATAGATTTCTGGCTTGAATTTCTACTGTTTCTACTTGTTGGATAATGAAGGCAGCTGCAAACTGGGGTTTCACATTATTGTCACAAATGATGCTGGGAAATTCACTGTAAAGTAAAAAACTCATTTGCATTACACTGAGCTTTAAAGGACTGGAAGTGGCTCATGTTTCCATCACTGCTGTTTTAAAATAAAAATGAAATTCCTCAAATTAAAATATGCAGTTTGTTATTGCAAATATGTTACATAATACAGCGGTTTTCAGTCTTTGATGCAACAGACCCACAAATATGATCATTCTCTAGCAAGGGACCCCCTCCTGAATTTTAAAAGGCATCTATATAATTTATTTTACAAAGGCCCAATTTATATTGTGATATAATATTATATTATTATAAATGTCTACAATATTATTCAGAAAATATTTAGTTTCTATTAAGTCACATTTTCACGTGTTTTCCTATAATGAGTACTACTCATTATAGTAATGTACTGTTAGATTAATCAGTTATCTATTTTAATCTGTTGATTATTTCGATCTTGTGTTTTTAATCTATTTTTTTACACTATTTTTCTCTAAACTGTTTTTCTCCACGGACCTCTTAGCGCTCCCTTCCTACTATAATAAGATTTCTTGAAGCACGATTTAGAAAGCAACTATTTCAGAATTCAGATATCACTAAGTCGAACATACAGATTGTGGTTTTCAATTAATAATAAGTGTAAAAAGTAAAATAAAATAGATAAACCTGAAATTATCTACAAATCAAAGTTTGAGTTGAGTCTGTAAGCACGTTCGGGTTGAATGAAATGCAGACCTTTAATTTGAGAAATGTTTCATTTAGAACTCTAGCGCCCTCTAGTGATCATACAAGACATTTTTCGTTCATCAATGCGTTTTAACCGGTTTTAACCTTAAAGGAGTAGTTCACTTCAAAATGACAATTCTGTCATCATTTACTCACCCTCAAGGTGTTTCAAACCTGTATGAATTTCTTTTTTCTGCTGAACTCAAAATAATGTTTTTTTGTCGTTAACCAAACAGTTGATGGGCCACATTGACTTCCATATAGTATGGAGAAAAAAAAATACTATGGAAGTGAATGAACTATCCCTTTATGGGCTTTCCTTGATTAACAGCATGGAGACACAAAATAATTTGGCAAAGTTTAGAACCAGTATGTAGACGTTTTACTGCAACTTTTTCTTTGTCTTTTGAACTTCACATTGAAAGGAGAGCAGAAGCTAAAACAAATTTTTTAAATGATATGGTAGGGATATCTTCTGCACAATTTCTAATTTTACCCAAAGAAGACAAAAATAACAACAGGATTTAGAAATATACAAAATATATAAAAATAAAAATATACAAAAAATATAAGAATATTTTTATATATAAAATTATTAAAACTGATGCAATTAGCACATATGTAAAATTGTCTTTATACTGCACATATGAAGACAACCGTAATGAAATATTTTATTTTCTTATTAAATTAATTATAAATGAACTCCGTCCCTTAAAGGGATAGTTCACCCCAAAATGAAAATTCTGTAATTACTCACCCTCATGTTGTTCCAACTTCGTAAGACTTTCGTTCATCTTCGGAACACAAATTAAGATTTTTGATTAAATCTGAGAGCTGGATCACTCCTCCATAGGCTTCTAAGGGATTGAAACTTGCCGGCCCAGAAAAGTTATTAAAGACATCGTTAAAATAGTCCGAGTGACTACAGTGGCTCAATCTTAAGTTTATCAAGTGATGAGCAAACTTTTTGTGCGCAAAAAACAAACAAAAATACCGACTTTATTCAACTATTCATTTCCTTCTCTGTGGGCCTCGAGATTTCACGTAGTGTAACTGCGCAGCGCTTCTGTGTTGTACGTCACACGTAGGCTCACTATTGGCCGACGCTGGTCATGTGTGTGGTGCGTGTGACGTACAACACAGAAGCGCTGCACTGTTATATGTGAACTCACTCTAAGCCCACAGAGAAGGAAATGAATAGTTGAATAAAGTCGGTATTTTTTTTTATTTTTTTTGTGCACAAAAAGTATTCTCGTCGCTTGATAAACTTTGATTGAGCCACTGTAGTCACTCGGACTATTTTAACGATGTCTTTAACTTTTCTGGGCCGGCAAGTTTCAATCCCTTAGAAGCCTATGGAGGAGTGATCCAGCTCTCAGATTTAATAAAAAATATCTTAATTTGTGGTCAGAAGATGAACGAAAGTCTTACGGGGTTGGAAAAACATGAGGGTGAGTAATTACTGACAGAATTTTCATTTTGGGGTGAAATATCCCTTTAAAAATGTTTTGGACACTATTGGGATCTCTTCTTTATTGATATAGCTACACTATGAGTCAGGGTTATTAGTTAACTAAAACGAAAACCTTAAAGGCACACTGCGGAACTTTTGGCCACTAGTGGCGCTCGACCTGTAACTTTCACGTCTAGCGTCCCTAGAGGCCACAAGCTCCGCAGCACTGTCGCAAAAGTCAACAAACAGTCAACCGGTCCGCCTATAGACAGTGGGTCAGCTTCCCGTGTCTTTAGATTGTGTGTGCTTGCAGTGTTTGAGGCGGGCAGCCTGGCCGCGCTCGATTCCCTTGTTATAGCAGTCTGCTGAGAGAGAGCGAGCGGCTTAGTGCTAACATGTCTGTGAGTGAATGTGGGCGCGGGACGGCGGGCCGGGCACATTTACTGCACTAAAAACACCGTCGGCCTGAGCTGACTGTAACTTATGTGTGTTGGTTTCGTTTTACAGAAACCGTGGGATATGTTGTCTGTGGTGTTTGTGGGCACTGAGTCGTGGGAACGTTCACTACATTTAATGTACATTTGACATGAGTCGATTTTATTTGTTCGAGCTGTGACGGGCTGTGTTTGTGTGTAGAAATGAACAATGGGCTGTGGGCATTTTTTACACTCATAACACCATCGGCTGTGGCCGGAATACCAGAAAATACTACACTGCTTATATGATTTATCTGTGTCACCTTGGAAACGGCATTTGTGTGCAGGCAAGCGTTAGCATCGGTCGGGCACCCATCCTCCTCCTGTAGCTCACGCCAGCGAGCGAACGCTGGACCAATGGTGATCCTCGTCCTGGCTTTTCATTTGTCACTATGCCTTTTTCTTTTTTTTAGTGTCCTCTGACAAAACCTTTGCCTTCTTCCTTGTAGCTGTTGGTTCGGCCATGACGAAAACATACAGACGGCAATCAAACGCGAGTTGAGCACTCACGTCAGAATCTGAGGAAGTGGTGGGGGAAGTGACGTATGCCGTAAAGCGGTCGAATTTTGTAGTTATTTTTGTGCTCGGGTTCCTACCATAGACAGTAAAAGAAATGGACAGAGCGATCTCATTGGAACTCAGTTGAGACAGTTGAAGCCCACTTTTAGCGATTTTTGAGAACTTCCGTTCCTGACGCGCAGACTCAGACCGACTCAAACTAAGCTTGATGACGTGAGCAACCTGTCTGACAGACGTTAATCTTCTAGTAGCTGTGCGTGAAAACTGCCAACGTTAATCTTGCAGAGACGGGGAACTTGAGCAAAGAGTTCTTTGGCGTGAGTGAGCAGGAGTAAGTATTCCGTTGCTTTTATGGACTCATTATCTATGGGCTTCTCCCTTGACGGGACGTCCCCCCGATTGCCTGCGAGCTTCTCCTCCTGTCTGTACGGTCATTTCTGTACAGCGCGACAGAGAGTCGAGTGGTTATGACGCAATCGTTAGCCTATTTTTACTAAATCTGTTTCTACGGGGCCATAATGTAACATAGAAGGTAATGGAGCCCTTTATACATTGTCGTGTTTCTTTAGAAATAAATAATGGACAAATGGAGTCTTTAAACGCCTCAGATGTAAAGTTATTCGCTGTCAAAGTGACGCAAAAATGAATGGGAGTCAATGGAAATGCTAACGCAAGTGAAGTTCTGCTACAACATGGCGGCACCCGGCCGGCTTCAACTTCCGGTCGATGGATTACCCCCTTGGTTCCTACCCGAACCCCGAAGTTACATAGTGCTAGGAAAAGCGATACAGACACCTTCAGGCTACGGCAGACGTGTCATTCAACCTATTGTAAGTCGATGTACCATCTCAATGGGTTTTGGTAATATATTATAAAGGTTGAAAAGTTCCACAGTGTGCCTTTAAAAACACATTGTCATTAGTCTACTTGAAATAAAATTTAATTTAAAATATTTTATTTCAGCTAGTTGCCAAGGAAACATTTCTTATTTTCATTTAACTTTATATTGCCTACTAAAATAACAAAAAAATCCGAAATAAAAATTAGGACTAATAAAAATTTTTTTTAAACACTTTACTAAAATTACTAAACTTTAACTAAAACTAAAATGAGAATAGAAAATATGAAAATCTAATCTAAAAAATATAAAAAATATAAAAACTAATTCAAAATATTAATAAAAACGATAACAGTGTACTTTCATGCGTTGATGGCAGTTTGTTAACATAAATAATGAAAAGTGCAATAATTATTTAATTTGACGCGAAAAATAGCGACGGTTAAAGGCTTAGTACCCTTAATATAAATTTTAAATGTTTGAAAATGTTATAATTGGCTATATTTTTAATGGTTTGACCTTTTTACAGTCTATGGGTTTGACATACACTATCACTTTAAATGCAGAATTTAAAAGCTCACAAAAAAAAAACCCTGCTGGAAATACACCGAAGGTTCACGCCTATTTCCGCCATTGTGGCCAATCACAGGCTAATCTATTTTCCTTATATGGATTTGAACCCGCCTCGCTTTGTTGCTTCATCCAATAAAAAAGCCGCCAGAACTTGATTGGCTGTTGTTTATGGTGATACAATAACAGTATCAAAAACGCTAGAGTGAGTGACCATTTGTTGAGACCGTGAGTGAAAGCGGTCACACGCCTACATAGAAAAACAAATCATTCATTAATACTTTACAATCAGACGTTAGATGATTTATTCTACCGTGGATTATTCAGACAGCGACCCCTTCCGCAGGACTCAGTGTTTTTGAGCGAAAGGATGAAGTAGTTTCTGTGGCACCCTGAGCTGACCGCCAACTACTACAGTATGCGGCTTACTGGGAATATGACTATTTATGATTTTAATCTATCCTACAATGACATTCACTCATAGTTTGATACAGAAATGGTATCGCTGACCATTTGTTCTGTATCTGGATCTTTTTTAAACCACCTGAATTGTCATACTTGAGCACGACTGTGTGGTTTTGGCACATTAATATGCAAGCTGGAGACGCAACATGTCTTTGTGCATGAATGCTGGATAATCATAACTGATCTGGGGAACAACAAGGGGAAACTCCCCGTCGGAAGACTTCTGAACAATGACCGGACCAAACGCCACCAGCGGCGGCTCGACTGCCAAGATCAGCAGACACGGTCGGTCCAAAAGCACCAGTACCTACTGTCACACTACGGGACCCGCTGCGGAATCCTCCTCGTCCACTGCCGCAAACAACACCGGTCGGTCGTCCGGTGAGGAAGACGAGAAAGACGGCGGGGTCCCGTTTTTCGTGAACAGGACGGGCTTTCCCATAGATAATGTCACCTGGGAGAGAATGTGGTCGCACGTCACCAAAGTTCATCCTGATGGACATGAGATGGTGGATAGAATACGAAATGCAACACACCTCCCAAAAGTAAGTTGAAAGTAGTGGACTAGTGTCTGTGTCTCAAAACCTGGCAAGCTGCCTATCTAAGCATTTTTGGTATAGCATATAGAAATGCTGTCTTAATAACACCCTAAAATGTTGTCTTGTTTGGAAGCTCATCTCTGTGATCTTGGTATGCACCTAAAAAATATGATCCCCAAAATGCTGATATGTGATATGAGGCAACTCATTTAATGCAATGCCCAAACATGATTTCTTGGTTGGCATTTTGGCAAGTTACTAGGTTTTGAGTAACAGTGAGCAACATTTTGTGTGTGTGTGTGTCTGTGTGTACAGATGTCAGTTAAAAAATGTTCAACTGGACAATGTTCATACCTTGGTATTAGCCTACCATGTTTTTGGACATCTTTGAAGTAGGCTTACATAGTACATGAATAAAACACAAATCTTTACCTTGGTATATAGGCTATAAAGTTTTCTTAGTAATTCATTACCTCAGTACTTTTTTTAAAAGTGATTTTAAGTTTGGGGTCAGTGAGTTTTTATTTGATTTGATTTTAAAATAAATTAATAGTTCCATTCAGCAAGTAAGCATTCAATAGGCCTAGAAGTGAAAGTGACAGTAATGGCATTTACAATGTTACAAAATATTGCTATTTCAAGTAGCCTAAATGGCAAATGCTGTTCTTTTGAATTTTCTATTCATCAAAAAGTCCTGAAAAGCTTCCACAAAAATATAATGCCGCACAACTGTTCTCAACATTGATGTTAATAATAAATATTTCTTTAGCACCAATCAGCATATTAGAATGATTTCTGAAGGATCATGTGACACTGAAGACTGGATGGCTCCTGCATCACAGGGTATAATATTTAATAATATTACTGTTTTTACCGTATCAAATAAATGTAGCCTTGGTGAGCATATTATGGGAAGATTCTTTCAGAAAACATAACATTTTACTGTACTTTTGGAAAGTAGTGTATGCATACAGTAATCTTTTGGTAAAACTATTGAACTTCCAAACGGGTCTTTATGAAGCCGTATTTACAGGAATAGTGTTTTAGCCTCTTACAAACTGGCATGCATGTGAGTCAGTTTTCAAGCAGAGGAAGTGTAGGCTATGAGACATGTGAGCGGATTTACTCATCCATGTGTTTTCCAACACTGTGCTACATTGTCCCTGGTCATAATTGAATTAAAAACCAGTCAAAGATCTGATCCAATGACAACTATGCAGAAACATTCCTCTGTTAATGCACATGATATGAGGAATGATGCCATGGGACGTCGTATGAATTTCATTCGGATTAAAGATGCTGTCATGTCCCTTTACCACAATGTTGCTCTAACCTCCAAACATAAACCAATCAGGGCTGATCAGGCTTCATAGGGCATGCAAATGAAGGACCTCAGAGGGGATAAAGCGAGTCTTATCACAGACTAATCCTCAGTGCTCAGACGGACAGTATTCGCAGGGTCGAGATGTGTGTTTAGTTGCTCTTTTGTTTTAGTTAACACTATTGTGCTATCCCACACTCTCATATGTGCTGATGCGTGCAGAACATAGGCGCCTGATTGGTCAAAAGCGTTGAGTCGGATCCCCAGATGTTAAAGTGATTTATTAGGGACATTCCCCACCAGCAAGTGTTGAACAGGTGCGTGGAGTGAATCCGTTAGATCAGCCAGATCAGGAGTCACTTGAACGACTGCAACACGAGCCAGACATTCCTGTTAGATCCATTAAATGGAGTGACAGTCCATGGGAATGTCCTAGCTTTGAACCCATAAATGACTGTATTGATAAAGAATCAGAGTCTCCCAGTGATAACCTTGGATCTGAGGACACTGCAGTTATTATGTAAACAAAGCACATACTGGTAGCAGTGTCAATGTTGATGCAGTTAAACAATGTTTGAAAGCTAAATAGAGTATTCAGAGAGCCTATTATATTTCATAGCACATCTTGCATCTTGCGCCTTTGTTTTTTGATATAATACTGGGTCTGGATAGCTGGAGTGCTATTAGGTATTGGAGTGCTATTAGGGTAATCTGTGTAATTCCTGTTATTTTGTATTACAGTTTGCACAAAAATACAGCAGCTAGCACAAGCAAACTGTTTCAACGTTGACGATAATAAGAAATTGTTATTGAGCATATTAGAGTGATTTCTGAAGGATTGTGTGACACTGGAGTAATGGCTGCTGGAAAAATCACAGGAATAAATTGTAATAATATAAAATAAATGCAGCCTTGATGAGGCTCCTTTCAAAAACATAAAAACATTTTACAGACCCCAAACTTTTGAACGGTTACATTTCTGTATGCATAGAAAACATAAAACATAAAAACATCTTTTGGATTTGGTTATTGATATAATCCATTTGCTAGAATGTTATTAAGGATAAGCTGCAAAATTCCTGTTGTTTTGTCTAGCAGTTGGACCTTCACATCTTTGAGTCATCATAGAAACAGCACAGATGTTTTTGAATGAAAATTGTTTTATCAAATTGAATTTGTACTCTGCAGTGACTTTGTTTCTGTATGTAACAACTGAAGAGTCCACATCTGTTCTCTTAGACGGACAAATGTTCTGGGTGGCTTGATTAGTGAGTTTCAAGTTTCTGTACAGTCCCACGGGTGGGCAGAGGTCAGCTAACGGCCCTGTGAGTGTGGATTGTGCCCTATTTATTGCTGCTGACCTCCTTTCAGGGTAGAAGAGACCCAGTTGAGCCTGTGGAGTAGAGTGTAGACGTAAATGAAACCTCTCTCTGAGAATTCAAATGGTCAGAATCAATATTCAGAGTGTCATTTAGATACACTTTTTGGAAATCGATACTGAATTTAAAGACTGAATGTAAATTAAACTGACGCCGGCACTGTGATAAGATCTTTTTGAGCAGTGGTTCTCAACTGCTGGGTTACTGGTCTGGAGAACACTGGAAAATAATGTTAAATGTACACTATGCTTTTTACTCCAGTTTTTATTGGTGTTTTGTCTGACAATACAGAATGGTTCTCTTGACAAGGTCACTATGCTATTTAAAGTTTTGTTTTTTAAGTCTCGTATACTTGGTAAGGCTGTTATTTGATCAAAAATTAAAGTATTAATCTATTTTTAAAATACCATACTATTACTAACCTCAAAATTTTGAATGGTAGTGTAAATAATAAAATGCAACCAATGATGATCTTGCATAGTTAGGAAAGCAAAATGAATGTCAAATCGAACCAGGATGCTTCACGTAACATTTGTTGTTGGCATAAAAGTGTGTGTGTGTCCAATTAAACTTGGTATTTGCGTGCAAATTCAGCTGTCATTTGGCAGAGGGTACGAATTATTAATTAAACATAACTAAAGGAAGTTTAGTAATTGATTTTAAAGATAATTATGTTGACTTTTATAGTGTAAAAATGTTTGTACTATGTTGAGTTGCCCTTTGAGTCTTCAAGCAGAATAATTGTATTGAGGGTGTAAGTTCTTATGAGGTTTGTCACACCTCGCGTTTCTGAACACCTCTATATTTAAGTGCTGAGAAAGAAGGTGTGTGTTTGCAGGAAGCACGACTGTTTTTCAAAAGACATTCTGCTCAGAACGACAGCATTGTTATTCTGCTATCATAATCCATTGGGGCAGATTTTAGACACAGTACCAGAGCCGGTGCCAGCGGAGTACCGAAGAGGGGACGTCTAAAGTAACAAATGGGGGCGATAAAACAAAGTATCCCCGGCTAGAAAAACATATGTGGCCTATTCACACATTTGTCAGACCGTGAACAAACCTGTCACTACTACAACTATGAAACAAAAAGCTACTAAGCAGAGATAGCCAAGCATTGAATAATTACTACCTAAAACAAAAAGGAAAATTGCCTTGGGCAACATATTTGAAATTTTGACTCATCGATATCCTTGAAAAAACGCCTTTTAAACAACCATACACTCTCAGAAAAATGGTACAAAAGCTGTCACTAGGACAAGGTTTTAGTACCATTTATATGTAGGCCTACACTTGGCATTATGTACTTTTGACTAGAGGAACTTGGGTACCTACCACCCCAGTGACAGCTTTTGTACCTTTATTTCTGAGAGTGTATAAATGGGTCCATGTGCATTATTTCCTTAAAAAAATAAATTGATAAATTCATGACATATATCACTTTGATCTAATAAACCTGTTTATTTTTAATACATTTTTCATACATGTAAATAATTCATATTATTTAATGTTTTGTTATCTTAAACCTGCAAAATGTCAGATTGTGCAACTGTCCAAACAAATGAACAGACTAATTAAAATGGTGTCTTAATAATAAAAACATGAAAAAGTAAATACTATGGCATCATTTTAACAAATTGTGTAAATATCAGTAGTTTTAAAGCTGTTGAGATAATAGAAAAACTTTTGTCCAGCAATTTGTGTATCAGGGTGGCACAACTGCAAACATGGGTCTTTCATTATGAATTGACAAGGTAATAACAGTAATGATAATACATAATCTGAGAGCCCAACTGATCCTTGTGGCAGAGTACAAAGGTTTGTAGATCTCTCTCAAATACTGGTAAAAACTGCTAATTTCAAGTAGCCTGTGTAGGTTGGTACACTTTCCATGTCAGGTGGTACAACTACAGCACATGCAACTATTTGGTTGTACCACCTGACATAAAAACAGTCCAAAAATGAATTTAAACACTTAACCACTTTCAGTGGTTTTAACATGAATACAGACAAGTTACCATGATACCAGCATTACTAAACACACACTCATTGCAACGCGTGTAACAGATGCATCATTTTAGAACAACCTGAACTGCAACCGGTGACAAGCAATAACAATACAATGAAATAGTCAACTAACTACGATTTATTAGCTAGCCTTCTAACATGAAAAAATAATTAATCATACCTTTAGCTTACTCAGAGCTGCATTTTGAAGTTTGTAGGTTAATGTGTCAAAAGTACGGTGCGAAACAGACTCTCCTTAAAGGTAGGGTAGGCAATTTCAGACTAGCTAGCAATAGCGAGCTAGCTTTGAAAGCATAAGATCCTACCCTCCCTTCAGAGCGTCTCCAAAGCCATGCCTCCTCCAAAAGACATGAACGCAAAGCACATAGCAGCATCTGCAAAGCGTCCCAAGACGAGAGATGGCATTAAATTACCTAATGTCTCAAAGCACATAACATTACAATAATAATGAACGTAAACAAGAAAATATAGGCTATGTATGTTTCAATATTTAGACCACACATTTATCATGTGTTTAAAGCTTCAAAAGTCGGCAGAAACAGACAATACTACACTATTTCTACAGTCTCTCATTCTCTCACGCAGGGGAGAGAGAGATAAAGAGGAAACAGGAGATGATTCCCTTTCTCATTTCCTCCTGTGACCTCAGCTGTACTTCAACACTTGCTTAATTCTGCCTGCCTTTTTAGGACAAGCCTTGGATTAATGCTGTCAATGTGTTGCAGTAAAGAGCCTGTTTCAGATAGAGGACAGCCTTTTTTCTAGCTTTCATAAATGGCTTCTTTTCTTATGAATGGGGGCTTGTGTGCGAGAGGACGATCTTTGTTCTTTGCTAATTCTCTTCGCTGCCCCTTTGCAGTTAGAAGTGTCATTGTAAGGGTGCAAATGATCAATGAGACACTGTTTCTGATAAGGACTTTTCATGCCATTGAGAGACATCAGAATCTGAGAAGAAAGGGCAATCCGGAAGTCACCTTGTGACTAGTTTACTTTAGCTGGATAAAAATAAGTGACACCCTCCATTTCTTTATTCTACACTCCTTCCCTTACTGCCAAGTGTAGTGTCTGTGTAACAGAAACGTTTTGTTTTGATTTGTTTTCCATTCAAGAAATATTTCTTATTATCAATGTTGAAAACAGTTGTGGTGCTTAATATTCTTGTGGAAACCATGATATATTTTTTCAGGGTTTTTTGATGAATAGAAAGTTCAAATGAATAGCATTAATTTGAAACAGAAATCTTTTGTAACCTTATAAACGTCTGCCGCTAAAAATACTGTCGCTTTTGATCAATTTAATGCATCCGCGCTGAATTAAAGTATTAATTTCTTTGAAAAAAAAAAGAACTTGTCACAGTGCATTCTGGGATTGCTTTGTCTATGACGGATGCAATTTGCTAATCCTCTCTGTTTTCATAGCACCCTGTGCCATTGGTTCCAAACTTTAAGCCATCAATGTCAGTGCCTGATTGGCTCCATGCCGTCCAGAACTACATGAGAAACCTGCAGTATCCTTTTCCCTGCACAAACCATTCATTCTGGGAAACTCTGCTTCTTCTGGTCTGGATGCATTATGAATTCATTGGTACTCGTTCCTTTGGAGTGTCAGTTATGCTTTTTCGCTACGTGTAATTTATTCAGTTGGCTTGAGTCACTCAAAGTGCCTTTTTGGAATGTCAGTGCCTTTAATGTAGAGTGATATTAGCCACGGGCCTGCATACTTCTGGCACACGGATACTTAGACATGCACTGATACTTACTTTATGGTTTGAGCAGCCATTGTTAGATCACTTCAGCTCTTGCGCATATTTATGTTCATCATTGTTTGTGATTAATATCTCTGTGTCTGATTCTCTTCCCACAAATAGATTGAGATCTGTGAGGGGTAATGAGGATGTTGGGTTCAACAGGACATTGGTCGCAGCTGTGCATTTTGAGATGTATGAGTCACAATGAAAAAAAATAGGAAAATAAAAGTTCACATAGCTCCTTAACGTCTGACAGATACAACCACACAGGAACTCAGTTTTTTGAGATTAAGAAAACCAGACCTCTGAGTGGGTAAGTGATGCCATCGCTCAGGCATTTTCATCATCCTGTCTGTCTACCCTGTATTTCCTGTTTTAGTCTTTTCCTGTTCCTTCTTATTTTACACTTATTTTACTCTCTTGATATTCATTTAGAAAGTGCTAGCATGTTCTTTTACAAAATGCATAGCTTTTATCCAAACATGAACGCAATTTTTAGATTTGTTTTAAATAAGAAATCATTGACCCTGTGTATATATATATATTCTTTTCAGGTTGATGGAGACTGCCAGAGAGATGATACGAGAATCACTTCCCATCAAATGCCTTGAAGCAGTTATCCTTGGAATGTATCCTTTATCTTTATTGACAACAGTGTGGTTATTTTAGCAAAAAACATAAAAATGGCTTTCATTAATTGAAAAAAAAAGCTGAAATAAAACAAAGTATAAATATTATATGAAAAATTTAACTGAATTTTTTGTTTACTAAAACCAATAAATTAAAGCTAAACAGAAAAACGAAAATAGTAATAATAGTAATAAATAATAAAATAATAATAATAGAAATATTAATACATATTTTTGTGTATAATTATATGAATATATATATATATATAGTATGTATAGAATATATTAATATTATGAATAATAAAATAATAATAATTTAAAAAATTGTATATTAATAATAAAAAAATAGTATATTATTAATAATAATAGAAATATGAAAATTTGTAATTGTATATAAATAATACTAAAATAACAGTGATTGACAAAAGGCATTCTCTAATTGACCTTATTTCTGGTAAAATTACAAGGTCAAGAATTTTTTTTTAAATGAAACATGCATAGATTAGTCATTCACAATAAGATCAATAACATGCCTTTAGAAAACGGATAGGGTGGATTTTCATTCCATGCCAACTTTAACACTCATAATACACTTGCATTGTCGCTACTGGCTTGTAGTCGCACTTTCCTTCGAAAATGTAAAAAAGTTTGTTTTTTGTTTTAGTCTTGAACGTCTTTTAGTCCCTAAACTAGGGATGCACCAAAATGAAAATTCTGGGCCGAAACCGAAAATTCTGGATGCACTTGGCCTGAAAACCAAAATTGCTTTTTAATGAAATTCAATCATTTTAATGATACAGAAATGTTTAAATGCAATCCAATCAAATAGAGCGGAATATTGAGCAGAGCATCACACCGCAGCACGCAGTGATAATGGCGAGAGCGAACCCTGAGCGCTGAAAGCTGAGGAGCGGGCCGGCATATATTTTCAGTGGTCGAAATTTCAATGCAGCCCTACCCTAAACTATAATTTAGTACTCATAAAAATAATTATTGCCATTGAGCACTTGCAACACTGTTAATTAGCTGTTAATTTTATTGTTGTTTTGATATCTCAATTGCTCAAATTGTGATGGAAGACTAAGAAGCGCTCTATCAAAGGCAATGTGCTTCACATCACTGTCTTTCTTCATGATCCCCCCTCTCAACTCAGCCCGAAGCTTTTACTTTCAGCTGTTGCTAGGAAACTAGGACTAGTGGTAGATTCTCCTTGAAGGCAGGCACAGCTTCCTGTCCATGTAGTGGATGCAGCTGTGCCATTCAGTGCCACTGGGAGGGTGTGTTCTTTCAGGAACTATTAATGCCAGTTATCTCAACAAATTCAGGCCAGGGGTTAACACAAGGTGCAGGTCATCATCGTCCGCGCAAATGCCAAGTGTTGCAGAGAGACATTCTGGAGATCTGCTTTGCAGATTGTGATGTTTCACAGGAGCCTCAGTGTAGACTTCACTTTGAGTTAAGCACTTCATGGCTCATTAGTTGCAAATATCTGCTTTCTCTCCGTGCAGATTTGTAGTGTTGAGCGGGAAGATGAAGGGTTCCAGTTTACGTCACTTTGAGATTTGTATCTTTGTGTACAAAACCCGTCTTTTAATCTACAGAGCTCTCGGTGCAGTTCTCAAAAAGTCGCAAAGGACTCGAACATCACAACGGACAAAGAGTGTTCGAGTTTTAGAGAACACTGAGGCTATTGTTGTTGTAAAGTTAAAGTTGCTGTAAGCAATTTCTTTAAAAAAAATACCACACATAAAATATCACTGAAATGGGGGTCTTGAAAAATAACACTTGTTTTTGTGACAGCCCTAAGAAGCGCTGCAAAAAACAGTGACGATAAAAAAGAACTGTAATCGAATGCGTTTCTGATTTGTGACTGCATGACCATATTAATTTGTTTTCTAACGTGACTCACTAGCTTTAAAAATGCAACTTCTCTGCATAACGAATGCATAAAAGCAACCAGCTGGATATAAACTAATGCAAATAGATGCTAACAATCGTGACATTAAACATTTGGGTTTTGTCACGTAGTTTTAACCGCTTGAGGTTCTTCTCAGCCTCGACAGCAAACACACTGCTGTTCTCCATTAGTGCGACATCTAGTCAACAAATGAATTGCTTTATAATGATATGAAAACACTAGAGCACTGGAATACCGTTTCATTGTCTTGTTTTGTAAAGTCGTCAAAAGTCTGTCTGCATATTCAAATGAAGACAAAATGAGTGCATTCTTCTTACTGTGTGTTCTTGGGACCTATAGCAGAAGTAATCCCCGCAGGTTTCAGAATGCGTGCCTTGCAGATAAGAATGTTGAAATTCACGGCACTGCTGCTGAGAGGATCACATGGCCCTGCTGATGGGTAATGTGATCCTCTGGTGTCTTCTCATTGTAACACTGGTGTGGGGTTTTGTGAGTGTGTGTAAAGACACACGCACACTCACAGAGAACGAAACTCAAAAAGAGCTGCAGAGGAACAAAACGTATGGAATGGGCCTGTATTTTCTTTAAGGGCCTTTTCAGACCTGTAGATCGTTTGCTTTGTTCCGAAACAGGGACATTTTGTTACAACGTTTTCTTCTTGGTTCGGATCACTTTCACAAAGGCAACATTTCAAAGCGTACCAAAATGTGTTTATGCAAGCCACATGTTAGCACAACTGTCCTCTTATTGGTCAGAGTTCACCTGTTTACGTTCCTCTGCGTCATCCATCAAGATGGATTGACAAGTTCACTCCACGGACTTATTGTGGCTTTATCTGTATCTGTAGCTGTCATGACAAACACTCGCTTATACAAATGTACCCTTTATTCCCGCTCTGACTGATAAATTCATTCATTCATATATATATCTCAGGGAGAAAAGCATTTACAAAACATTTTAATATGTTATTAAAGTAATAAGTTTATTACTTATAATAGTAATCTCTCTTTGGTTTTCAACCACAAAAACTCACAGAATCAGACAGTGCTGCTTTTTATATAACACATTTTCCATTATGAATTATGATACCTCTTAGTTTGTTGGTCCATTGAGTCAGATTGCTTTCTCACCTCAACCGAACCTCCCTAGAGTTCATTTTCAATCGACCAAAATACGACTAAATAAAGGGCTACAGTTAACAATCCTTCTTTTGAAGAGATCAAAATCTAATTTATTTGCTTTCTTAGTGTCTCTGGATTTTTTTATATGATTCATCAGTGCACAGTATTCCTAAGGCAATTTTTATTTTTGCTTTACATAATAATCAAACTGGAACCATATAAAAATATCTAAAAAAACAAAACAAAACTTGAAACGAGATAAATTTGAACAAAAGTAAATTAAAAGTATATTAAAATGTAACAATTTGAATGTATCTTGTTTTATTTTATTTCATGTTTTTAAAGGATTTTTTTAGATATTTTAATGGAAATCAAGTTTAAAAAAAAGCAAAAAACCAAGAGTGGAATTGTGAAAACTACCTTTTTTTTGTAGTTTTATTCTGAGGAAGCTGATTTTCTTTTTGTGGACCACTGGAGTCTTTGATTAATATATGAATATGGTTGTGTTATATAGACTACACGCATATTGTGCTGGTTATTGTCTTTGAAAGGCAGATGGCAAAAATCGAAGCAGTTCCAGGACGTTGCGTTGTGTTGTTAGACACACATGGTTCAACAGATCTGCGGTATGTGCTCTTGGCTGCTTGTGCCGTACCCAACAGCAAAACGACACAGGCACACTGTTTACTGACAAGTGTGACGATAATGATTCATTTAAAGAGTGGTTGTAAAGCATCATTTCCTCATTTTAGCAATGTCAAGGCCACATGAATTCAAAATTAGCATCAGAAAGGAGAACAGGAATCATGACAATCTCTTTTCAGTTTGTTTGTACTCTAGTTCTTAAATTAGATCATGGATACCCTAAAACAAACACCACTCAGTTGTGATTGATGTCAGTAAGGTCAAAAAGTAGTCTTTTTTTTGTCCCTAGTTGCAGAAGAATCCTGGTGTGAACCCTGCAAATAGACTCACAGCCTGGTGACTCCTGCCATGCCGCAGTGAACACTGATCGCTTACATAAGACTACAGAAGAGATCAGGCTGAGAGAAGGAAGCCTGAGGGGAAGGCTAGTCTAGCCGAGTGTCTGCTGACCAGCTTCAATCGCGTCCCCGCAACTTCATGGAATCAGAAGGTTTTTGTTTGTGAAATGTTAAACAACTGACAGTAAAATCCAGTGATGCAAACTATTCGACCTTTTTTTGCAGAACTGCTTTATAGATAAAATGAACTAGTTTAACAATTGATCTTCTTTACAAAGGAACTGAAATCAACACTTGAAATGACTTCAGCTGAACAATGACACTATTTTCTTTTAAGAGCTGCTGGACAGCCAAAATGAACTGTTTGGATCATTTAATCATTTTCCTGTTAGCACTGTAAAGCTGCTTTGAAAAAAATCTGTATTGTATAAGGCATTATTTAAATAAAGCTGACTCCTGTAACTCCTAACTGACTGTGACAAGACAAAAAACATTTAACATTTTTGACACATTAGGCATACAAATAAAAGTACATGTGTGCATATTTTAATGATAATATTATTTACAAATAGTTCAAAATATTTTTTTCCCAACCACAATTAAACCTAGAATTTCCTTCACTGTTTTATTTATTTATGCTTTCTAAAAATTGCACTATATTAATAAAGTTGACTTTATTGTTGGTGCTTGCCTATGCAAATGTTGTTGCCACAATTCTAGAGGGAGTTATGTGGTTGCTAGTGTTGTTCCCATGTAGCTTCTAATGCCTTTCAGAGGGTGTTATGTAGTTGCTAGGAGGTTCTGGATGGTTGCTAGGGTATTGCTAGGGTGTTCTTGTTGGCGCTTTTACATGCAGAAGTCATTGCCAACATGCTAGAGTGTTATGAGTGGTTGCCAGGGTGTTGCTATGCAACTTCTAATGCCTTCAAAGTGTTATGTGGTTGTTAGTGATTTCTGAGTGGTTGCTAGGCCAGTGCTAGGGTGTTCTTGTTGCAAAAGTGGTCATCACCACAATGCTAGAGTGGTTGCTATGGCATTGTTATGCAGTTTCTAGGGTATTCAGTGTGGTAGCGAGTTGTTACGTATTTACTAGAGTGTTCTGAGTGGCTAGATATGATTTGAGTGCCTAATTGTAAATCTATAGGTTTATTTCTCATATTTCACCTGATTGTTAAAAAAAAACACTTCTCAACAAAACGCATAATTGGATGTGACATTTTCTCGTTTATGTCTGTAGCACAAATGGTTATACTCTGAATTTCCAAAAATGACGTTGGAAGCAGCTCTTTACGTTATTTTAAAAGAATAAACGCTATTAAGCTTAAGCTTTCAGTCAGGGTATCGGTTCTGAGAATATACACGCAAATTTTAGCTGTTACATATCTTAAGTGAGTTTTAAATGAAAAGAATTGTTAATTCATTGCCTGATTGCAGCTTTTTATTGACCTACAGTAGCTGATTGATTTTCAGGAAGTGTGACCGTAACCAAACTTACTGAAAGCACAAAGACAAATCAGATTTGAAAAATCAATAGTTCACATTAAGTTGAGAGGATTTGGTATTTTTCATGAAACGCTTCGGTATCCTCCTGAATTTTAACAGAGATAAAAATCAATTTGGCATTTAATTATCACCTCATTCTCAAGCAGCTGCTTTTTCTGGGCTCGAAAATTATTCTGAATGTATCCAGCCTGTCTTGAGTAAACCAATCACAAATGAACGTTAACGAAACTGTACTGTTAATAAAATCCTTGACCCTATTCCCGTTAGCTACCTAACGAACGGTCTGACCTCTGTGGAGCGGTTCCCCATCAGCTTTAAGACCCAGTTCTCCGGACACCACTTCCATCACGTGGTGCTGGGCGTTTACTGTAACGGCCGCTACGGCACCCTGGGTATGAGTCGGCGTGCTGACCTTATGGACAGATCTTTGAGCTTTCGTACGCTCAGCGAGTTGGTGTTCGACTTTGAGGACTCATACCGCCGCTACCAGCACACCATGAAGAAGATCAAGATCGGCCTGTACGTGCCCCATAATCCGCACGTTTTCCAGCCTATTGAGTGGAACTATCTGGTGATCAACGCCTGCAAGCAGGGCCATGAAGACATGCGCAAAGAGCTGGAGAAACACGGCCGTGACATGAGGATGAAGGTGAGTCAATAAAATGTTATTTTTGTATCATTGATATACTTTTATATTTTTGTTTATTTTGAATTTGTGTACATTTGTGTATTATGTGTTCATTTTAATTTCAGTTAAAATGTAGTAATTTTGGGGGTTTTTTTCTCTCTTTTTTTTTTTTTACATAGTTATTGTATATAGTTAAATATGTATGTATAGTTTTAAATTTTTTTGTCAGTTTATTTAGTTTTAGTTATTTTAGTACTTCAGCTTAAACTAAGAGAAAATGAGAAATGTTGCCTTGCAACTAGCTGAAATAAAATACGTTTAGTTATATTTTATTTAAATGTTAATGTTTATTTTATTTTAAGTAATGAAAATGTTTTTATGGTTTTAGCTTAACAGTAGTTTTAGTTACTAAAATTACTTATTTAATAGTTAATAACATGGCTAAGATTTACCCATCTACCCATGTTTCATTTAAAAAAAAATATTTTTAATTTTTTATCAAAATATCGTAACTATAATATATTATTGATATTTTCTATAAGCATATTTAGTGAGATATTTTATGAATATATTATTGATATTCATATTTATGCTGCCTTAAATTTTGCCAAAATGACATATCTTAGGTTTTGGAACCGAGACCTACACTGCATCCAAAATTGAATACTTCCCTACTATATAGTATACAAAAAACAGTACGCCAAAATAGTAGTATGTCCAAATACATATAGTATTTGAAAAACAGTGGGCGAAAAGTCCCTGGATGACCTACTTATTGAAACCAAGATTCAGAAGTGTGCATTCGATGGACACTTTACTATCTCGTCAGGCCGTTGGAGGGGATTTATGAATGAAAGTGAAGCGACGCAACTGACGCTGGTAGGTCACGTAACAGTAACAACATGGCGGATATAGTACGTCCGAATTTCATTCATACTACCCATATTCATACTTTATATAGAGCATACTTTTTTAACAGTCGCAAAGTAAATTCAAATGTAGTAGCCTACCTACTCAGACAGTACGCGATTTCGGTTGCAACGCTAATGTCCATCTCAAAAACTAAGTTAACTCAGTGGGAACTAAATAAGGTCAGACTTCCTGTGGGAGGTGGAGCCACATAAAAAATAAAAAAAAAATCACGCTTGCCTGTAGGCCTACTGGTATTTTTTTAAAGTAAACATTTATGTTTTACCCTGGTTCAGTTATGACTGGATCAGCAGAGTTCATATTTGTCCTTAGATGTCTCTTGAAGAGTTGTGGACTAGCTTGAGATCATCTGTATGAGTGTACAATGGGACATGTTTATCTTGTAGACAGTAAAAAGTAGGTCATGTGCTCCCAGTTTCTCAGATGCGGCCTTGACTTGACCGCAGTCAGCTGTGACATAGTTTCCATGAATGGCGTGAGCAGAGAGTGGAAATTGCGCTCTGGATGTTTGAAAGGAATACATGTTTTTATGGATGTAAAAAAAAAAAGTGGGACCGTTTTTAAAACCTAAATGTTTTTGCAATTAGTCTTTAATGTTTAAGCTATATGAACATCTTAGAGCATGACGTGATAGGAATGTATATTCCTATCTCTCTCTCTCTCTCTCTCTCTCTCTCTCTCTCTCTCTCTCTCTCTCTCTCTCTCTCTCTCTCTCTCTCTCTCTCTCTCTCTCTCTCTCTCTCTCTCTCTCTCTCTCTCTCTCTCTCTCTCTCTCTCTCTCTCTCTCTCTCTATATATATATATATATATATATATATATATATATATATATATATATATATATATATATATATATTTTTTTTTTTTTTTGTCAAGGACATAAATATATGTCTGTTTGCAGAAACTGCTTGTGCATAGACAACATGAAATCAAAATCGACTTGGTAATCCATCTTGAAAGAGTTTCTTCGATGTACTGAAAACCCAGCATCTGGCATCATCAGCATGGAGCCGATAGAGTCACTCATTATGAATCTCATTCTAAAAATCAACTATAACAAATTGAGAACATTGCAATGTCAAGTTACCTCTCATCGCTTGTGCTGCTCATGTGGGGAAAGCACAATATATCGAGCGACTGAGAGATCGGGACATCGGTTGTCTAGTAGCATATTGAAGTTAATGAACGTCATCAAGTTAATGAACGTATATATGGAGTCTTTCATAACGCTAGGTTTATTTGTGCTGCACTCACTAATGAGAAAACACAGTGAGAGCGATTCAGCGTTTGCTCCCTGTGGTGTGAAAAAGTTCAAGCCATACCCGTTTAATAAACTGACTAGATTTGTCGTTTTCTTGCACCGGATCCCTGTCGGGTTGATGATAGACAGTATTCCTCATCTGTTAGTTTCTCAGCTTGCCTTTTACCACCTTGAAGATTTTGAGGCCTTTTTTCATTCTAATTGCCTTGAAATCCTAATTTCATGAAGATAAAAATGATCTGTAGGCCTATTACCTCATGCCGCTATATATAATTTGACTTTTTAATTTCACTTGCATAATATATTAGCTTATTCACAAATATAAAAACAATGAACATAAAATCTATGAAATCTATGAAAGTTTTAAAACAACTGGGTTTTATTACAGATCCTCAAGTCGTCCAGCGCTCAGTCTCCAATCAAAGAACGAAGCCGAGGCAAGTCTTTATCACCGCGCCGCCGATCAGCCAGCAGTCCCCAAAGACGCCAACATGTCCACAGAAGAGACAAATCGTAAGTAATGGACACTTTGATGTTGTGAAGATACATCCACTTGTGTAAAAGTCACTTGGTAGAAGTCTCTGTCAAGAAAATGCAGTCGTAAGCTGTTAGTGGTTTATCGGCAGTGACTCGTCATGACTTGCATCTGGCCATGGAAGCTTTAGAAGTAATTACTTTGGGGTTCATTTATTAAATGTTGACACATTTTTAGTCATCTTCATTTTTTGGGTGTTTATGTATGCAGCAGCAGCAGCAAGCAAAAAATCTAGTTTCTATGAGGATACAGTGACAAAACATTACTGGCATGTGAACTCTCGGTTCGGTTTTTGTATTCGCATATTTCAAAAGCTTACAGCAATTCTTAGTACTTCTGTTCAGCTGAAGCATGTAGCCTATAGCAAATTCAGATTGCAATGTTAGCGAATATTATCAACAGCAAAGCACGCTAGCAAGTATAAACATTAGTTTTTGCACTGTGTCCAATCTCAGACATGTTTGTTGATCCCTGAACGCAGTGGCTCTCAGAGGTGTTTAATATTAGTCAGAATCCACTCACCGCTCAAAAACACCAGGTCTAACGGTCTAATTCATGTACGCTATATTGTACAGCAACACCATGTCCCTTACTTGCTCTGCAGCAGCAGCCTAGAAGATCTATTCCGCCAAGACCAAGCATATCAACACGGTCATATCCATTACCATGCCAAACACTCCAAGAGTTGTCATGACAGAAATATACACTGCTCGGCAAAAAAGAAAAGAAAAAGAAAGAGTCGCAGTTTGGATTTAAATAGGCAAATGCTTAAGAGTCTATGATTGGATCATTATTGCAGTGATTATTATGTTTCTAGCTTATTGTATGTTTGGCAACAGTTCTTCTAACCCTAATTGATGGAGTGTGTAGCTTTTCATTTCTTAAACAACCATGTAGGAAGACACACCATGGCCATATTCTACGATGGCATTGTCAAGATTGATCAGGATCAAATTGTGAAAGAATAGTTGGGAGGGAGCTTGAAGAATCATTTTCCCACATGAATTGGCACCTCTGACTGAGTCCAGACCTTAAATTCATTGAAAGTCTTTGGGATGTGTTGTCAATACAAGATCTTGACCAAAAATGTATGCACGTCTTGATGGAAATAACATCACAACATTTATTTCCATCAAGAGGTGCATCATTTTTTGGTCAAGACTCAAGATCTTTATTCATGTGTGGAAATGATTCTTCATGCTCTCTCCCAGTGTATATTTTACAACAGAATTCCAACTCCTCTTTGAAAATAAGTAATTTTGACACTTTTCCACTTCAAATCGCATTCAGTGTGAACACTCCTTGACATTTGTAGACACTTCGTAAGTTTTTGTTGCAGTCACTAAGGTTACTGAAGACGACACATTGTCTGCTCATGTTTCATGTTCATGCCTTAACCCAGTCCATTCTCATTAGAGTTGTGATGGTGACACTGCGAAACAGCTGGTGGTAATTCGTTGGCTAATCTCCCTCTAGCAGCACACGGTTGGCAGGGTCTCATGTTACCAAAGCACGACCCTGTTCCTCTCGTCCAGGCAGTTGACTTTAATGTCTCTATAGCAGCACGGCACAAGTACTAGTGGAGAAACTCTTTTATCAGGCTGAGTGGACCAGAAAACCCCGTTTAGCACTGCTGATCACCTTACAAGGGAGACCTCAGGCTGCTTTTGTTTATGGTATTGAGGAAATAAGATTCCTTTCCTCTTATTTCAGCCCTAGGGAAATATTGGCAGTGCTCTGTATCTACTAGGAGCAGAGTCATAAAAAGTGACAGTGATAGATAGCAAAGCTTCCTCTCTAAAAAGAAGTGGCTGTTTTAGCAAGACATAGACACAAAGGGATCCCTAAGCTGTGGAAAAAAGATGTAGAGCAGGGAGTTTGGACTAGTTATTTAAGCAAAGTGGCGTTTTAAAGGCCCTCTCCTGTCTCCTGTCAGTACAACTGCCTTCAGGCATTACACTGGGTTGGCACTCACTCTAATAGGATGTGAGTCCAATGCAACAGCTGTGGTGGATGCGGGCCTCACTGACATGTCACGCTCAAATGAACCCATGTATAATCCTTCCATATGAGCATACAGTGATAATCAGCAAGTCCTGTTGTGTTTTAGCGTTTCAGAGCTCAGCGTCTGATGATGTAACTTTATCCTCTGATGCAATGGATTATGTTAAAGCCGGTGTGCTTTAGTTTGTGTGTGTTGGGGAGTATCTAATGGCGCGGTCACATTTACCATTTTTCAGCAAATTTTCGCTGGCAAATTCCGGGATTTTCAATAGGAATCCGCGTGATTCCCCCGAGCAGATTTCATAACGGGGTCAAGTTGGTCATGTAGATTCGTAGAACCATTTCTCTTGCATATTTAACACAAAATGTTTTATTCATTCTAGTGAATCTGTTCGTTCTAAACGGTCCTTTCTGTCATATGAAGCATTGATTCAACTTTTCAGTGCTATACTTATGAGTTATGAGCAGCGTTGTTATTGTTAACTAATACTAAAACCATTAAAAATCCTTTTCTGTAATTGAAATAAAATTAGTTACAATATAAATATGAGAAGAAAAAAAGAAATAAGTTGAAGTTAAAGTACTAAAATTACTAAAACTAAAATTTAAAGAAAAATAAATCTTTAAAGAAAAAAATAGGTTCCAAATAACTAATAAAAATGACAAAATAATATGAATGTTCGAAACAAACTGAAAACTAAAAATATATAAATAAAAGCTAAGTCAAAATATGAATAAGTTCTATAATAGTTATGAGACCATTTATGATGAACCAATTCTCTAAAATGAATCCGACCTTCCATTTTAGTGAATCAGTTCGTCTTAATTTAAAATGATCATAATGAAGTGATGGAAAGTCCGGTTGATTCAAGTGAATCGGTTCACTAAGATGGTTCATGTGAGTGAACAGATTCAGAAAAAATATGTTCTGATTCAAGTCTCTGTACTATTTTCAGTTATGTAGATTTGGGTGTTTTTGTTGTATTTGGTATAAATATACCCTTTCAGGATTGACACCATAAATTAAATTAATTAAATCAAGACGTTTTTTACTTAAGTGCTCAAATAAGTGAAAGTCTTAAAATGATGAAAGATAATGATCGTCAAAGATGCTCATCTAGCATAGGCTATGTTTGTGTTAAGCAATTTAAAAATACCACAGCAACGTCTGTGTTCTAGCTTGAGCCCATGAGTTTTGTTTAATCGCATGCATTGAAGCGCTGCTGTTGACCTGTCTAAAAAAGAACTCTTGATTGTTGTGTATTACAATGCTGTAATTACTTAGCTAATCTAATGCACCTCTCAGATGACATGCCATGAAATTATACCAAAGGTTAGACTGCAGATCTGTGGCCCTCTGGCTTCCCGATCTAAGCTATTTTTGCTGTGTTCTATAGCACCTTCCTGTCACATGCTCTGAGATGTTAATTACTGAGCCCCACACATACACTAGTGTGCCAGGCAGCTGCTGAAACACACCACCCATTTAACGTCAGCATCACCCTCAATTACACAGAAGAACTGCACAGCACACGCATCTCTTGGCAGATGAGTTTGTTAATTCACTTACAGTGAAAAGAATTATGAAGTTACAAAATGAATCTGCTCTCCAATGAACCCCCTCAGTTCTGCAGTTGATGATTATGAAGTTTTGCCACTGTGATAAAACCTGCAGCATGTGACAGTCCCTGTAGCTCTCAAGAGGAAACATCTTATACAAATACAACACCTCTAATACAAATACACCTCTTAAAAGGATAGTTCTCCCAAAAATGAATATTCTGTCATTATTTACTCAACCTCATGTTGTTCCAAACCTGTATTCTGGGTATTTTGTTCAATAGGACAGGGGTGTTCAGTGTCTTTTAGATGCCACGGACTTCCAAATATGATCATCCTCATGCAACTTGTATTGTAAAAAAAAAAAAAAAATTGGATCTGAAATATTATTTGGAAAATAAGTCCCATTATGTTTGTTTTTTTCTAATCAGATTTATTATTTAATTATTTACTGTTTTCCTGTAAACTTTTCTCTGTAACTCATTTAGATGTAACGTCATGTAACTCTTTTCAAGTAACTATAGTGACCACTGCTGTCGGAACTCGAAAGGGACTATATATATATATATATATATATATATATATATATATATATATAATATATGTATATTGTTTATTGTAGTCTGTATGAAGTCTACTGAAACCATGTGCTAAGTTTGTTTGCGGAACAAACCAAAATTTCCTAAAAGTTTTTAATTGTACTGTATGGCAAGATATTTTTTGTTCTATGGAGGAAATAACAGTCTATGGCTTTGCAACAACATGAAGGTGAGTAAATAATGAGAGCATTTTAATTTTGGGTATTATTTGAATATTTCTTAAATGTTGCAATAAAATGGAAGTAGTGACATAATTTCTTCCATTTTCCATTAAGACAGATTATTAACAAAAAAATATATGTAGGGCGAAGTCTTGGTTCTCTGCAACAGTATGGACGCAGATCTGAATGTGAGCTTGTAGTCGATTATCAGAAAGGGGCGGAATACGCCTTCAGAGAAAAGTCTGTCGTTTTCACTGGAAAATCCGATTCGGACATTGATTAAAAATTATGAGGTCAAATAAAATAAGAAACATACATTGATGAATCATTCACAATAAGATCTGTAACTTGCATTTACAAAATAGATACAGTGAATATATATTATCAGTATAATATACTATACTATAATATACTATTCCTGTCTATCTCTAATCAATAAAGATATGAAATGCCCAGAAAGTAAGATACTCTCCAGACTTTCCACATCAAGTCTGTTGAGTGAACGGGAAATTCCACGGGGAAAATTAAATTTAGCTCTGGTACAACAGATCTGCTCCTGCCCTTTTCCTGAATCCCCTCCCTGTCAAAGTGCATTATCTCCACTCAGGGCTATTTCTAACACACAGGATGTTCGCTTGTCCACAGGCTCACCCCCGCCTCCTCTGTCTCGGAACAGACAGTGTCTCCTCCTTTCAGTCGTCCTCAGATGTCCACATAAAATGAGGACAAAAACTTTCAATGCCGACTTAGTACATGAGTGGCAGAGTTTGGACTGTTCAGAATGTGATGTTCTTCAGTTTCCATGTCAAAAAAGTAGTGCGTTGTGAAAAAACAAGCTATATAATTATATATTTTGAATATTGGCCTAATAAATATAGCTTTGTGCTTTAAGGTTGAGTTATAAAAGTTTGTTTTGACTAGTCACTAGCGGCTATTGTTGTCGTGGTGACTACAATGACTGATCAATTTACATTTGTTTGTGTTTTTTTTTTTGCCTGTAAGAAACATTCATTCTTAGTCTGTTATGAAGGAAGGAATTGTGAAAGGTAGTTTATACCTTTTGTAAATTGTAGAGGATCTGTCTTGTCACTGCTGTGCGATTTGATCGCCTGACGCTGAAGCACCTGCTTCAAATAACCAGCATCAGTTAAAAGAACATGGAGGGTTATTGATTAATTCACAAGAGTAGTAGCATAAAAGTGAATGGTGGAAGAGAGAATGTGATAGACCAGTTACTGCTGTGCTGGAGGTTCTATTTACAAAGTTGAATGGAATGTAAACATTTTGAAGCTCAATATCTCAAAACCGCTCAGAAAGAATGCAGAGAGAACCCAATTCCAAGGTGGCGACTTGTATCAATTCACGTTTTGGTGTTAGAAAGACAGTTGTCGGTGAAAAAAAAAGAAATTAGCTGGTCTATGTCAGTTACTCAATAGTAAAAACAAACTATGTAGGTTTATTTGTCAGGGACTATATCTTCAAATGGAAGGATGAATTTGCCTGACAAAAAGATTTTAATGTAAGATTGTGGCCTTAATATTTGTATTACTTAGTGTTTTCAGACCACTTTTCAAACGTTTGGGGTCAGTAAGATTTTTCTTTTAATTAATACATTTACATTACATTAATACATACATTTGTATTAAATTGATAAAAAGTGACATGCAGTAAAGACATTTATAATGAAAGTAGAACGATTTCTATTTCAAATAAATGCACCAAATCAGCATATTAAAATAATTTCTGAAGGATCATGTGACATTGATGAGTAATCATGCGTTCATCTTCGGGACACAGATGAAGATCTTTTTGATGAAATCTGAGAGATTTCTGTCCCTCCATAGACAGCTACACAACTACAACTGACACTTCAAAAAGTTCATAAAGAGATCCTTAAAATGAATCCATATAAATTATAAATTGAGTGGTTTAGGCCAAATTTTCTGAAGAGACTATTGCTTTATATGATGAACAGATTTAATTTAGGCTTTTATTCACATATAAACATCCATCAACTCACACATCAGTGATAAACAGAAGTATATTCATTTCATATTTTTTATATTTATCTTGATATTTTTTTTGCCTTTTACACTCTTTTTTCACAGAGGTGGTCGATACTGCTCTAAAACAACTAATCCTTGATCCAAAAGGTTCGCCATATTTGTCATTATGCAACAATAATCTCCCAAATGAAACTAACATAAACATGTTTATTTGCAGGCCAGCAGCACTGGACCGAAAGCCAGCAGAGCTCAGCACTCTCAGTGACGGCTACCAGATCCGCATCTGAGACACTACAGCTTTATCCTTCACACGTCCTCCCTCCACCCAACATGTTCTTAAACACCATTTAATGCACATTGTCAACTGTACAGTATATTAAACATATTTATAGTTGTACTTCCGTGTTAGAGGTAACCTGGGTGCCCTTCTCCTAAAAGAGATTCAATTTTTTTTTTTTAAAGAACATGCCATAGCATATTTTTATTAGTGGAAATTTTAAGTAGGAACCAAAATCAGCTTTGCTTAAGAATGTTTTACCCAAATAATCGTCAAGCATTTTAGAAGACAAAAAAAAATATTAAAGCGTATATGGAAAATGTGTGTGTTTGGGGGGGGGGGGGGGGGTATTTTCGGACAGAATCTTCACTAGCAGTGAGAGCTGGAGTGTGAATGGATTGTGTTTGGCAGAGAGATGAAAACCTCGGTGCCTCGTGCTGTAGTGGTGGTAGTTTTGGAGACTGACTGTCCCTTTTGTAGGAGAAGACAGAAGCTTTTTTTGCCAGAGGCGAAAGGAAGCAAGGGACCAGAGCATCAGAGAGCTACCCATTCTGCTCACAAGTATGAACTGCATTCAATCCAAGTTACTTCTTTTTGTTGTTGTTGTTGTTGTTGTTGTTACCTGCACACAGTCACAAACACTCCTGTTATATGGATGGAATGGACATGATTTATTGACTGAAGGTTTGAGGCTAACTTACATTGAAGGCTTTGTACTGTTTTTTTTTTTTTTTTTTTTCATAAAAATATTACGGTTGTAATTGTCGAGAAATAGTTAAAAAAATTTGTGTATTATTTAAAAAAAAAAATATTTCTTGTTTTTACCGGTTGTTTAACCAGTACAGTGTTTTTTGGTATGATATTTCATTTTATTTTTTTAAACAAAATCTCTCAGAGGTGTGAAGGTTGCAACCATCCATTGCAAATAATCCTTGAATTTCAACACTTTTGTTAGGAAAATAAATATATTTCTTTTTTTGCAGCCGCATAGTTATAAGCCTTATCAGCTTGGCTAATGAATATAAGTTAAGCAGATACGTGGGTTCTTATGGAGCTCCTAAAGGAACATGGTGATGGGAAAAAATTATATTTTAAAAATAATAAAATAACGAAAGAAAATGTTCGCCACCCCCTGAGAAACTTTGCTGTGAGCGAACGCAAAACTGGTGATGGAAATAATATGAACTGGGAGGAAACCACTACATTTCAATGCTTTAGTTAGCGAACACAAAGTTTCTTGGGGGAACACAATACTTTTGCCACAAACGCAAAAGTTTTGCCAGGGGAAAGTTTCTTGGGCGAATGCAAAAGCATTGAAATAGAATTATTATTATATGAAGTGGGAAGAAAAAATATATTTTGATGCTTTTGCTAGTGAAGTTAGCGAAGTGCAAAGTTTATTAGGGAATGCAAAAAAACTTGCAAGAGACTGTTAAAGTTATAAAGTTTCTTGAGGGAATGCAAAACTTGCAATAGAGCACAAAAGTTTTGTGAGTGAACGAACGCAGTTTTTGGGGGAAATGCAACATTTGCAAGAGAATGCAAACTCTATTTTGATGCTTTTGCCAACAAAGTGTAAGCGAAGTTTTGTTAGCGAAGTTTTGCTAGCGAAGTTAGCAAAGTTTATTAGCGAATGCAAAAAAACTTGCCAGGTGTGAAAGTTTTGTGTCAAAACACAAAGTTTCTTGAGGGAATGCAAAACTTGCCAGAGAGCACAAAAGTTTTGCGAGGGAATGCAAAAACATTGAATACAATTTTTCCTCCCATCTCAATTTTTTTTCATCACCATGTCCCTTTAGGGGCTCATTCAAGTAAGTTCTAACTATATTAGAAATCACCTTTTACTATGTTCATTCAAGTATACGCCAAATATCATCTCTTTATCAACAGCATATCACTTCAAACTTTCCCACCTCGTGAGAATAAGCTATGCACATGGAAAAGGTCTGCGGATCCGTCCTTCTTGACAGCAGACCTGTTTTTAAAATTGTAGCAATGCCATTGTTACAAATTTTTCGGGTTGTGTGAGCCGTTCCTCTCTGATCGTTGTTTATTGGGTGCTGTCGACCAAACTACCACATTATAGCTCATTCTGCCTTGTAATTGGTACCAGCTTTCGATCTAAAGCTATTGAACCACACAAGTGCCAGACCACTGAATATGTCAAACTCATCCTTAAAGGGATAGTTCACCCAAATATGAAAATGTTGTCATCATTTACTCGCCCTCAAGTTGTTCCAAACCTGTATGAGTTTCTTTCTTCTGTTGAACACAAAAGATATTTTGAAGGATGTTGGTAACGAGACTGTTGACGGCACCCATTGACTTCCATAGTAGGAAAAAAAATACTAAAGAAGTCAATAGCTACCTTCAACTGTCTGGTTACCAATATCCTTTTTACAAAATATCTGTGTTCAACAGAAGAAAGAAACTCATACAGGTTTGGAACAACATAAGGGTGAGTGATGACAAAATTTTCATTTTTGGGCGACCTATCCCATTAAGGCTGAGGGTTTCTTCTCAGTCACATGAAGATGAAAGGTCACGAGTTTCAATGACATATCAGATGTATCATGTTGAACTGCTCAGACCCTTTATGGGAGAGAAGCGGTCTGCTGCTTATTGGAAGAACATTACATTGTTACAGATTTCTATCATTTATAACTTGTTTGGTAACTGATCAGATGCGTGTGAAATTGTGAGTGAAAACCTTTTTATGGCAGACAAAAAAACAAGTATTAGTTGTTTGAAAATGGGTTTCTGATTTTAAGGAAATGCAATGATCTCCCCTTAAAGGTGCTAAGACATTTTACCCATATTATAAAATCCAATTACGGTATTGTAGCATTTACTTTTTTATGAGGAAAGAGCACATTAAAGTGACTTTTATTGTAGCACAATGATTATGAACTGAATTAATCTCAATTAAGATACATGTTTGATGGTAAGCATTGCCAAAAAAAAAAAAAGAAGAAAGGTTAAATTAATATTCATGAAATTACAAATGCCTTTGTGGAATTTTTGTTTCCATGTCTTAAATGCAGTCTTGTCTGAAAATACAATCAATTTTGATGACTGACAAATATTTTTTTTTCAAAGAATGTTACTGATGTGACTTTCTCTATTTTGAAGACCTCACCTCAAACTTGTCCTCATGTTTCTGTAATATAGCTTAAATGTACCGCCTAAATAAGGACTTTATAAAATTCAATTGACTCTCAATTGTTTTACACACATTTTTCCTAAGTCTTACCAGAGCTTGCACTCTTTTTCTGTCATAAATTTGTGTTTCTGAGTCACCTCCCATTTCCCCACGAGGAAACATGTAATTTTATTAATCCTCTGTAGCATGTTTTAATAAAACTGTTTTTCTGGAAGTCGGATTCACGGTTCTCTGTGCTTATTTATGCATCTCTAGAATAGACCTTATTCAGAGCAGCGCCATGACAGGTATGAAAGCGAGACTGTGAGGAATAGACTTCCCATAAATCAGTTTTTGATTGTATTGAAAATAATATCAGACATAAGTATTAATACTGTAATATAGCACTGTTCATTTTATTACTTGCATGGCTGTAATCGATTGTTTTTTCCTTAGCAGAATCTTTGAGATAATATAGCCTACAGGTAAGGTTCCAAAATGATTTGAATCTAATATTTCATGTCCATGTATTTTGTTGAGTAGCCGTATAATAAACTGGTTTATTTTGTGATAATGATTGGCTGAATGTGCATTATGCCTTACTTAGCATAGAAGTCTGTTTTTGTAAGGTCTTCTTAACCCTAAGGTGTTGTTCCGCCATTTTGGACCGAAAAAATAAATAAGTTTTGAAATTTTAAAAATCGCTACTTCATCGGAATGGTACAAAACTCGCTATGTGACCACACACACACACACAAATTATGGACTTGAATAGAACAAGCTAAATTGTAAAAAAAATAATCGCACTTGTTTTGATCGCGGTCAAAAATGACCCCCCATATAGGAAATTAATGGGAAATATGCAAAAATAGTAAAATAGAAATTTATTTTTCATGTAAAATCTACCATTCAGCCACAATGTAGTTTTAAAAAATGGACAGCACGGAAGAGCTTACACTCTAAAACATCAAAAGTACAAAACACACACACACACACACACAAATGAACTGGTGTGGCTGTAACAATATGGCAAAATTGAGACGGAAGACTCAAATAGGAGGTTAAAATCAGGTTGATTAAGCTCTGATAAAGCATTCGTTTTCATTTTTGTTACATTTTTATTGAATTTTGATGTGTAACAAAACGTCTTTCTCTGTGTTCGGGTTTGACTGAAATAATGCAAAACTGACACTTAAAATCAACATTAAAAAAAAAACCTAAACTAAACCATGGCAAAAAGTAATCTTTGATAATATCTAAATATATATCCAAATCAACAACTTGATAAATACAAGTATTTATGTCTAAAATCAACTAGAGAATGTATAAGCCTTTTTATATAAAGCTATAAAGGAATCTAGTGGTTACACCATGGCATTACATAAGCTTTTATTTTTTTACTCCCACCAGATGGCAGTAATCTGTCTTCAAAAATTGGATTTTAAAGTCCCCGTGAACCGGAAGTTGCAAACGACTTTTCTCCAGTGTTGTGACGTATTTCCGAGAGAAACGGAATACTAAATGAGGCAAAATGGTGGGCGTGGCTTTTTCCCCAACTAGCACCTGATTGGATCTAGAAATGTAGGTGTTTTCATTCAGCCTGTCTACTGTCCAATATTATGAAGCTGCAGACTCGGAGCCTGCATCTACAGTCCCCCACCGAGAGTCCCGCATTCTCAGACCCCTCGTTTTTCGAACACAGCGCCTCCTGCTGTTCGAAAGATCGTATAACACTCATTATAGTGTATAACTAATTGCGATGGAAGGGATACAATTACAGATTGAACTATCTTCTGAAAAATAGTATGTGATATTATATTGCTACAATGTTTTTTTTATTTTTTTTTATTCAAATTCCAATTTTTCTTTCAGTTCAACCTATAATGGTCTAATTAACATTACCATGCTAACATTACAAAATCTGTTTTTTTGATATTTTGAATGCGAAGCAAAACAAATCAGAATAGACAAAACACCA